GAATTGCTAAAAACTACATACAAATGCTTCTCCAGATTTTGTAGTTGCTTTCAAGCAGATCCATGAAAGTTAAGTGCTTGGCAGATCTATGTGATCATCACTTCTACAGTTTTCAGTTAAATATATGGGGGACCAATAAAAGTAGACATCAACATCATGAAATGTAATAATACATAATACAGTTCATCTGTGCAATCACTGGCATCACATCATGACATACAGTGACTGCCACCCCACCCTGAACAGTGTCATCAGATATCATCACCTATTTTTAGTTTCATCTATCTTAGAAGCAGAGGGTCTGCTCGAGTTACAATTCTCTTTTATCCCCTTACACCTTAATACTGAGTTGTTGCATAACTTTATTCAGTGTGGCACTGAGGTATGAAAAGAAAAATCTCCTAAGATTTAAATCCAAATTCTGCAGTAAATAGCCATGACACCATGTGATTTAAAAAAAATAAAAATCCTCAGTTATTTATAACTTTGGAAGCTGCTGTATCATCTTGCCATCAAGTAAGAACAGCAACAGACTTGTTCTAAGCAGCTTTGCAAAGACAGTTAAGACATTTACTGTCCTTGGGAGTGGGGCTTTATTGTTAATTACTTTGCCAAAAGAGTGTTATGATAACTTTGACAATGCACCTCAAATTCCTCCTTTCTCTCTGATTGTCTTACCCAACTGAAAGAGTCATGTCACTGTGTGGGTACACAGTCCATCATAGAACAGAACCTCAACAAGGACTGCACATACATAACCCAAAATATAAATAGTGAGAATTTTCTTACATATCTCTTTTTTTTCCTCCTAAATTCTGTACAGAGCATCCTTTCATTGGTCACCATACAGCTCAAAATATTCTCCCTAGCTGAAGCCCCAGTGTTGATGGTTCACCAGTTGTTCAGGGATGTGTGGAGCACAAGGGGTTCTCAGCCTCCAATTGACTTCACCTGTGCATGTATGATCCCACTGAGGTCAGCACAGATGGGGTTCTCCTCTGGAAGCAACAATGTGGTTGTGACCTCACATGGAAAGCTGCCAGCAAAATGACTTTACTTCTCTTCTTTTTCCTAAGATCTCAGATGTTTATTATAAAAGATCACAGTTGGTATTATTTTCTGAACTAGAGAGCACATGTGTGGTTCAGAATTATTGATTCTTAGCTGACGTAAATATGATCTCCTCTCAGGGAAAATTGCTGTAATGGGACGTAACAGAGGAATTTACCAGCCTGTCATGCATTCACAGGCCCAGACAGGAATTTCTTAAAGACTGACTTGACTGAAAAATGGTAACACATCAATAGTCAAACTTTCCTTAACAAGACATTTGTTATCTACAGAAGTTTTATTCAGGACTAGGTGAAAATTTCTAATCCACAACAATGCCAACACCAAACTAGCACCCCTGAGTTTTCAAGCAGACGTGGTGGATGGTTTAAATTCTTCTCCCCCATGTGACTAAGACTGCTGTGTCAAAGGTACATCCTTCAGCATCTAACATTTAATGTTACTTCATGCCCTGTGAATACTTATGTACAAACCCCATTAAAACAGCTTTCCTGGGAAAGGAGAACAAACAAAGAGAAAGGAGTGAACTGACACTTCCGAGAAAGCAGAATTCAAACTCCTATTTTAAATCAGGCAGTACAAGGTTTTCTGCAGTGCAGGCACATACCCCTAACACAAATGTAACAACCACCATGTGCAAAGCTTTTCTCTTCTCAAACGACAACACAAAGCCTAACCTTTGCCCTAATACAGACCAAAAGCTCTGAAGGTTAGATCTCAGAAAGCTTTGTTGCATGGGAAAACTATTTGCATTTGCTTATTCTTCTTTTATTCAGCACCTGAATCATGGTGCCAAATTAAGCAACTATGGTAAGCTGCTGTTTATCAGGACACAGTAATGAGCGGGAAGACTTTGTTCTGTGGGGGCGGTGTCTTCCTGACATTACTTTGATTCTTGAAATGACAGTTAAAAAGAAAAAAAGAATACATTTCAGTTTAACTGCTCTTGCAAAGCAGGTAGATTTTGTTACTTATGTTCTAAGAAATACAGTAACAGTGAATAACTTGATCTGAAAAGGAATTTGTTCAGGATTCACTCTAGGTCCCCCGGGCTGTCCGCCAGAACTGTTCTATGGAGACTTCTGGCCACAAAGAAATGAGCTGCATTAATTAAAGATAATTAAAGAGCATCAGGGTCTTCATGCCAGCTCTGTGGGGGAAGGCTGAAGTTCAGGGTCTCTATGAACAGCTCCTCACTAATGTGGCTTCTAAATATTTCAGTCTTGTCCTGAGCCTGTGACTGTGAGATAGAGAAGACCATGTCTGATTCTTCTGTTCTACTTAGTTGGGTGTGCATTTTGTAACATTTGGAAAACAACCCGTGCCACCATGCTGGGCAGCTCCATCCTTAGTTCCCGGTGTGACTCATCCAATCTAATGGCTGCACTAACTCTTGGTTAGTGACAACTGGAGACCCTACTTCTAGCAAAAGTTCTGGTATTATTCTTACAGCCCTGCTCATAGTGTTAATTTAAAATGCACAGGATTATATTTCTAACCCTCAGTTTTAAAAAGAAGTTGAAAAAAATGCTTTCTGTCTATAACTGAATGGAAATCAGGAAAAAATTGAATAAAGAACAAACAGGCAAACAAATAAAAATAATTCCTCCATTAACTTAAACCATAAAATGTATTTTTTAAAACATAAATTGTCATTTTTTGTTTCCAGCCTTTGTCAGGGCTTCTTAAAATTTTAGCTAGCAAAGCTCTTCCTGTTTTTATTTAATCAGAATATGTGCTGGTGTAATTGGCTGAAAATTCTGCCTTTCTATATTGACATTGTATATTGGCATATTTCTTTTAAAGAGATACACAAATTTGCACCATTTGAGGATCTTGGCCTGATCTTGGATTTCCTTAACTATAGGCTAACAGGTAAAAACCAGAATATGGCAGCTGACAAGAGAGTACATTTTTTTGCTACTGATATGTTCCTAATTTCTGAGTGGAATTAATGGTAACACAATATATAGTTGCAGGCAGACTCTGTGTTTTTAGGAAGGCTTTTTGTCTGTAGAGAAAGTCAACTCTGAGCTTTTTCATATCTTCTGTCTCAGGAAAACCAGCCTTAAATGTATTCAGAACTGCTGAAGCACAAGCCATACTGTGTTCTAGACACAGAAAGTACAAGGGCAAACTATGTATCTACAAAATTACATGAATGTACCTGATGTACTGCACATGCACAGCGTGGAATTACTCAGAGCATCCACTGTCAGCTACTTTAGAGCTCTAAATCACACCATTGGGCATCTCCCTTTCCCACTAACTACAACAAAAATTTAAGAATCAAAGTTTGATCTGTTGAATTAAATCTAAGAGAAATGGTTAAGGCAAACTAACAGAGGTGAAATGTGTATAACTGCACACAGTTAGACACAGGACACAACAGGCTAAAATTATGTGACCTAAAAAAATATATATAGGAACAGAATACATTCTTTGCTTCCTGTGCTCAACACAGACAGCAGTGCATTAAGGGGAAAAAAAAAGAAAAAAAAAGAAAAAAAGAAGAAAATCCCATAAAAATGTAACACAGTAATAATTTTTTATTTCAGTCCTTATTTCTCTCATGCACTGAGAGGGATGTTCCCTGTCCATCATATAATTTAAAATGTTGATTTTAAAATGCAATCAGTATTTCTTACACATTCAGAGTTGCAAACACCTGTTGCTAGAAGAGAAAAACAGAGAGCCTCCTTCAGCTACTACAAAACTTAGACATTTGTCAGTTGGCATTGTCAAAAAGTGACTAAAAGCTGTTGAGGAAAAACCCTAACCCAAAAGTTTGAAATACAGGTGATCTAGGGGAGAATCAAAGACATTTGGAATCTCTGCAAACAGGTCTTTCCTTCAAGGAGGTCACAGTGGGTATGTGGGTCTGACTTCAGAAATCTACATTTTTATGTGAGCTTTTCAAAGGCATATTTTGAGTGCCTCAGAAACAGCTTCTACTGTTGTTGAGCTTCTCTTATGCAGAGAAAGGAGTTTGTTGAAGCAGTAGCCTTTGCAGAAATGGAGTCACAGCAATTTCTTTTTTTTTTTCACAGGGATTTGTGTCCTGTCAGATATTTCAAATGTATTTACAGACATTCTTGTCAGATGCAAGACCATCTCAAATGTTACAGAAAGCTAGTGACAAGCCTTAATATTAGGGCCATCATACAGTTCAGAGACTTGGTTCTTCAAAAAAATCATGAGACAGAGCCTCAGGTACTACTAGCTGCCACACTACTGAAGTCATCCAAACCTAACAGAAAACGCTAAGTCTGGGAGAAGCTTTTGGAGTCCAAATTGAGATCTGGGTATAAAATCATTGCAGCTCCATGTAAGAACATTTAATTCTGTCAGTTTGCATAGTGTTCAACTTTATAAACCAACTTTAAAATGCATCAAATTCCAGGGTCACAAACTTTAAAATACTTCAAATTCTAGACTCCTGCTGTGATTAGTCATTGTGAAAGGTAAAAAGGAAAAAAAAAGTGTGGTTACCACAGATTATGATTTAATATATGCAATATCATATATATAATATTTTGGTGGCCCTCAAGCTGTGGTCATGAAGTTACTGTCAAGAACAGGACATCAACATCTCATTTATAGGAAATCAGGGCTTAAATGTCTGTTGAGAATATGTTCCCTGACACAAGTTAAAGCTGTATCTAAGCAGTTTTGAAAAACAAATAAACCCAATACGGAAAGCATTCATCCTGCTCTTTATCGCTGGAGAATAGAGAATATAATTTTAATTTCTGTCCTGTACAGAAACATAAATTGTACACAAGCATAAGTTAAAGTTTTAAGGGGTTGTCTGATGCAGAAGTACCATGTTATTTCTGAACAGAAGAGAGGATTCCGTCTGAAATTAACCTGGTACTAAATGCTTCAAAAAGCCAACACTCAAGAAAGAAAGAACGGAGTGGACTTACTCTTTTTTGGGGCGCTCTTCTGGTATCCTCGTAGTTCCACATGTGGGGGTCTGTTAGGCTTTGGTGGGTTCGGGGCCATCTTGACCACTGGGTCCCAAACCCTTTGCTTGGGGCATCTTGAACTCCTGTCCCCATCCTCTTTCTCTTGTGATTCATCTGATGACCTTTCTGCACCAAGTGCTGTATTGATTTTATGAAACTTAGGAGAAGAATCTGATCCTTCCTGGTTGACTTTCTTGGCAATGGTGGTCTTGATAACACTCATTCCCTTTTCTTCAGTCTCTTCCTCCACGTTTTTCGAGGTGCCTTGAAATAAGCTCTGTGAGTGGCCAGCAGGCTTCAGAGATATTTTAGGAAGATGACTACCTGCAGCTTCTGCAGCTGAGTTATTTTCACTCATTTCCTTTACTTTCTTAAGTGAGTGTGTATTTGTTCTAGGGCCTGACAGACTACTTTGAAGAGAACCACATTTATTAGAAACGTCTGTATTGTTAGAGACCTCAATGTTAAAAGAAGGTTTTTTAAAAAGAGAAGGCTTGGGTACATTTTCCTGTGCTGCAGACATTAGCTTTTTCTTAATTCCAGTTACTTTTGGAAATGCTGGTTTTGCCTCACTCTTCTGTGATGCCAAATCTGAATTTGGTTTTGCTCCCAGAGTATTTTCTTCTTTATCAGGAGGAGCAGAGCTGGGGAACTTGTTCCTTGCAGGTTTTGGACACAGAGGCTTTGGGTCCCCTTTTGCCGAGTCACAGGTTTTGATGGGGAATTTAGTGAATTCAGTTTTTCCATAATTTTCTCTGTTAGTTGGCTGAAGATGAACACCAAACCTTTGTGCCACTGGGTTCAAATGTGATGGCTTTGGATCATGCTCTCTTTTGTCATCAGTTGAAGGCTTGACTGCCAGAGGAGGCTTAGGATGAACAGTTTCATGAGAGGTACTGGGTCCTGGAATACACATTGCATTTCCTTGACTTGCTAGTTTCTCAAATGCTGCTTTCCTTTCCTGTTGTAATCCTTCAGGAATTTCTCCTCTTGGGATTTTGAAGGGTTGACTTTGAGCAGGATCATCCTCTCTGTCTTCGCTACCCTTCTCAAATTTTTCCATGAGTAACCTCAAACGTGACTTCCTACGCTACAAGCACAAAGAAGAGAAAAACAAAGAGGAGCAATGAGAAAGTCCTGTTACAATGTTCACACATACTGTACTTTAAAGAGTTTCCTGGTCTGAGGCTTGTGGTACTGCTGATTGGCTAGCACATCTTCCTGTAGGGTTAAGAGAAGCTGAGCATTTTGTTATATCCTTGCCTTGATGATACAATCTTTTAAAATTTTCATTCAGGCACTGCCTTTAGAGAGTGCCCATGTAGCTCCTTTTGGGCTTATTATAATTTCTGTTTATATCTGGAATTGGGAACTGGACATATAATAAATGTAAAAAAATACTACTTTAAAATGAATATATACCTAAAAATTTGAGTGTCTGTGGTGAGAAGTACAGATTGTACTAGGACCTGGGTAATGTACCCTATTAGGGTTATTCCTGCCAAGTCTTTGGAGAACTGCAAGTTCCTTCGTGAAAACAAAAATTATTCTGATTTGAGGGGGGTGTATGTGAGTTTTTCTTTCCATTCTCAGCAGTGTTCTTCCCTGCTGCTCCCCCCACTCTTGCTTTGTCCGTCTTTCTCTTCTCCATTTTGTATCTGAAAAACATGGTGCATGTGTGGATGGAAAATGAAAATACGTGAAGCAAAATGGGAAGAAATGACAAACAATGTACCCAGATACTTTCAAAGATACTGAACTTCTTGGGGAAAAAAAAAAAGTTGAACAATTCCAAGTGGATAAAATGCAGCTTCATTCAGAAATAAATATTTGAATTGATCAGCCCTATTGAGTAACTTTCTGGACCAGTCTTTAATATGAACTGAAAACAAAAGCTCAATACATTTGAATTCAGCACAAGTAAAACCCAACATGGTGAAGGATGGGAGCAAAGGGAGTGAGCTGGTCCTGTTGTGCTGGGCTGGGGCTACCTTTGGGCTCCAGGGGCCCCCTGAAAGAGGGAGTCCTTTCCCAGCTGACAGTGGCAGCAGGTGTGCAGCTATGGTAAATACACTGACATATCCAATTCACAACTTGTTTGAGTAGGATCTGGATTTTGTGTGTGAGTTAAAATGTCAAACTAATAGCATAAAGCAGGAATGTTATTAATAGGAAGGGTTCTGAATAATTTGTTTGTAAACAAGGAAGTATCACTACAAAGCATAATAAACAGGTGTTTGAAAAAAAATTTAAATATTGAGGAATGAACTGTGTCTTCAATCAGTACAGTTCAGCGTGTGTTCAGCGATTTTTTAAATTTCATTAACAAGAGCTTTTCAATTGGGCTTTTGCTCCTTTTGCCTTCCATTTGATTGTATCACATTACATAAATGGCCTGTCATGTTGGAGTAGTTGTACCTAAAGTAGTTGTAACCTAAAGTTAACTTTCTCAGTCTTTCAACATTGCCAAGAAATTCAGTCTCTCCAAACTGCTTGTGTTGTTGTACAAATTACTCACATTTAATGCAGCCAAAACGAGATTGACATAATAAAATTTATACCCAGAGCACCACGTTGTTTCTTTTGCACATATAGAGAAGGGGGGAAGTGCACATTTACTATGGAAATTATCAGATTTAAGCCATCCACTGCTGTTTGATGCATATGCACTCACGCACACACACACACACACACAGAGAATTTCACTGCAGACATACACATATGTACCACTAATCATTTAAGATTTCTCCCAAAATACCTTGCAAAACACTGATTTTACCCCCTTAAACAGAAAGTTAAGCCAATAGAAAGGCAAGAGAGGATAATAAAGCCTTTTGTCTTTGATCTCTTTTGATTTTGAACTAATGCATGTTTTGGTTTTTTTTAAGTTCTGTAACAAAACTAAACCAGTAGAGATAATGTAATTTTACTTCATATCTGAAGTCTTCAGAGCTTGAACACCTGTTTGGTCTCCCACAACGTTCAGCACGTAAAACTTTGAAAGCTGGGAATGCAGCCTTGAAGAAGTTTATTATTATATATATGGTTTCTGAGAAGTTTTCTACATCTTTTTAATAACAAAATTACATGAATTACATTCATACATGCTTTAAAATGCACTGAAACATTCACTACTGCCATGTTAGGATTGCCAGTGGATTTTTTTAAATAAGTTTCTTCCCAACTCTGTGAACAAACCTTGTCCTTGTCATACATATTTGCAAGCTCTTCAAGACTAAAAAGCTGCTGGACATGTGGAAGGGTTTACAATCAGCAATAGACCCTCTTTCGTTTAGTTAAAATGAGTAGTAAATGGTAAAGGGAACACTAGGAGTCAGAAGAGAGCAAGAAACTTGGTGAAATCTTTCTGCTTCTCTTTAATGTACCTCACCGGTTTCTGCCTTCATAAGCTACATTATATTAGAGGCCATGTTGTGGATTCTAATGCACAACCTGACAGGCTAGATAGACAGATTGGGAACTGGGAAAAAGAGAAAATCTTTTTTTTTGTGGCCCTGCTCATAGAGTAATCCCCGCAGTTCCTGTGTTTCCCTTCTCAGAAGTGACAGCAGTTACCTATTTCATTATCACATACAGTAGGCTGTAAATCAAGAAATGGGAACTTGAACAGATTCTGAAGTGAGATTAAGTTCCCGCTACCCTTGCTCTCTAAAGTGCAAACTGCCTGTGCAGCAGAGGAGCCTCATGCAAGAAATATTTGGATTATTTTCTAACCTCTCTCTTTGTTGTCTAGTGGGAAATTCAGTGCAAAATATTTTTGGCTTTTCAGCTTCTGATATGAACTGGAAGCAGCACGTAAGGAGCACAGTAAGATTTGCTTTGATACAAGATGTTTGCATTATTCAAATGTGTTTGTTCAAATCTAGAGCAATCCCCAGTTTTTAGTTCCCATGCCACACATTCCTTTGTATACACAATGCTTTTCCAGCCTGCCTCTGCCTTCAGTAGAGACTCGCACAGGTACCAAGATACACTTGTACAGAATTCTTTCACAACAAGATCTTAATTACACCTCAGTGTTAACAAGTGTAATTCTCCATAATTTACAAAATAACTGCTCATTTCTGTACAGAAGTGCAGTGTAATGAGAACACAGAAAGTATGAAGGTTCCAACTACATTATTCCTGAATTTACTATGAATATTTCTGTCTCAACTAGAAGCTTGATTGAAAAATATTTGTTTTGCCTGGGAATACATATACTCTTAATATTTGCTTTCCTGTCTTGGTGAAAACAAAAGATCATTTCACTTCAACTTCCCCTGGAGGCTACTCTTTCTTCAAACAGCAACATTGGATCAGTGAATGGAATAGCAGATGTGTGTGCATAGGATTATTAATCAGGCAAATGAAATATATGTAACAGTTGACTGTACAAGGAATTGTGCAATTCTTCAAAATGCATGCAGATCTGATTTATAAAGGAAAAAACCTCCATCTGTTCACTTCTCAACTGTAACTTTTTCCTTTCTATTCCCCAATGATAAGATCAAAACAGGCCTTTAAAAAACTCATAGTCTTTCAGTAGAAGTAGACCTCGATGAGTTTGTTAGAGAGTAATGAAATAAAGATTATAAACCTATCCCTTTAAGAAGAAAAGTGTTTGTCCTCATGAATTCTGTGACAGTGAAATAACCAGAGAAACTGTTAACCAGTAAGGGAATTGAGCTCTAATCCACAGACACGATATATGGAATAAGGAACTGGACAGAAAAGACAAGGAAAATTATGTATGAAAGTTATAGAAAAATACAGACATGAAAATTATTTTGCAACCTTATGGAGGTCTGATATAACTTCTACTGAACTTAATGAATTTGAGGCAATGTAGGTGCTTGTTTGGATGTTAGTGCTATTCTGAATTGGTGATAAATTATTGCTTGACTGTTTCCTTTTCCAGACAGAGAGGCTTCAGAATTACCATTATGCAACTTTGTTGTTTCCAGAAGAGTTAAATAATTTCCACACTGCTTTTCTTCCTCTTGAGTCTAACTGTAATTTCTAGTTAAAGAAGACTCACTCTAAGAGCAAGCGCAGCATTTGGAAAGTGGAGTTGAGGTTTTGCAATGCTCTGTACCTATGAATGTAGGTAGCAAAAATATGAAAAGAAGGCAGAAAAACAGAGTTTGCCCAAGCAAGACTTTCTCATACAATGGTTGGTATAAAGAGAAACCAGCCCTCATCCGACAGAGGCAGGCTATTCTGCTGCCTGGAGTTTTTATGAAAGGCAGATCGCTAGGGTGGAAAGGATAAACAGAAATCGAAGGGATTCTCCATTGAGAGGCTTACAGCCTCTATGTTACCCTGAAAGTATTTCAAACATCCCCGTAGCACCAACAAGACAAAACCAGCTCATATGTGAGAATGTGCAGTTGTCAAAATTACGCAAGACAGTGTTCCAGCCTGATCACAGTGTATTCTGTATCTTTTCCATTGTGCATTGCTCTGCACCTTGGTACCTCTCTCTTGTCACTTTTACTCACCTTCTATTTAATCATGAGACTAACTACTCATATTGCAGGAACATAAACGGACAGCTCCAGATGAGTTTGAGACCAGGACTAGTGAGGGCACAGGGCTGGATCAGAACAGCCAGATGACATCCCAGCTTAGTGCCAAACTACTGCTGTCACAGACTGTGCATGAGGTCTAAGCATCAATCTATGCATAATCATCTCTTCATCCTATGTCCTGATAAGCTCACCACAAAGTTTCTCCCTTATTGATTATTTTTGGTACCTATCTAAGTCAAAATCAGAAAAAACTATCAATCATTGGCAACTCAGTCTTCAACAACAGAAACCTGGTGCTTTTAATTTTCCATAAAGAGCTTCCATCCAATAAAACCAGACTGTTTAATACCCCTTCTGAAAAACAATTACATTTCTGTAGCATGGCTTTGTATAAACACAGAACTACATTAACTTAATAATTTTCTTTTTTTTTTAAATAATTTTTCTCATATAGTTTCTTTATAAATTATTTATTTCAAAATAATTCAACTCTCTAGTGATCTGCCCAGAAATGCAACAAACAGATCTCTCTTCGCTCAGAACCCTATTCATATACAGTGCATACAGTGACTTATGAATGTCTTATTTGACTGGTTATCCCACTAAGGTGGATGTAACAGCTCTAAGTTTCAAGGAAGAAAAACTTGGGTTTCTGTCACTGCAAAGTTCCTACTCTTATTTCTAGAATTTCAGAATCCCAGATGATTTAAAGGAAATTCAATGCAGTTTTAAGGCATTGAGTACCATTTAGACTCATAGTTGGAAACAAAAATATTTTCCATGGCCAACTACTAACAAAGTACACAAAGTGATATCTCAGTCCAGAATATGGTATATTACAAAAATACCCCACCCACAAAGCAAGAAGGCATAAATAATGCAAAAGGAATAATAAAAAAATAACTGCCTTTGAGTGATACCATTTATGCTATTATTCAAAATGCAAAGTTGACTTAAATTCGGACCACTCAGTAAAATTTCAGCAAACAAGACTTTGAGAGATGAAAGTATGTTTTGTCAGCTTAGCATCTTTTCAGCTCCTAAATGAATTCCAAATAGAATCTAAAAATAAATTTCCAGTTAATTAAATTACATGTAATATCTTGTACTGATTCTATTTCTTCTGGAACTTTGCACATTTATTTCGAAGACAAACATATACAACAGTTTACCTGGATATCTCAAAGGTCTCCAGTATTTTGATACAGGCAGAAAAACTGGCTCCCTCAATGTGACAATCCACGGGTGTTTCACCTTAACAGCCTGGTCTGTTCACTAAGAGGAGTTCTGCTTCTCTCAGAGGGTTTGCATAAGAATGTCGCTTGTGGTTTTCATTATCATGAACAGTAGAGAGAACTGCTCTCTTCAGGATATTAGGCAAGAAGTGGTGTAGGAAAAGGGAACTAAAGTGTGTTCAGACTGGTTGGCTGCTGCCATCAGCAGTATGCACCATGTGATATTCAAAAGTATTGCATTTTCCCCATATTGTGTAGCCCCGTGAAGCTCTATGGGTGCACACAAGCTTGAGTCTTTACAGAATAGCAGCTAAGGAAATGTGCGTGGCAATTACAGGCATAAAGATTGGGCTGACCTCAAGTCTAGTGTCCTGCTACCACTAAGAATCCTGCATACATTCCCACTCATCAGGTGTTGGCTGATGTGTTTATTTGCTATGACCTATGCCAGTAGGATCTCGAGATTGCCAGTTTTTTAAAATTTCTGTAATGTGGAGATACATCTTTTTTAAAAACTATGATCATACATTTCTTCTGTCCTTCTTCAGAAGGGTGCTTGTTACACAAGTCAAAGAGTTGGAAGGATGATATAGAATGGGAAAGCCGACATTGAGAAAATAAGCTTCACAAGAAATTCTAAACTTGTATTTGTGCTGAAGGTAAACCCAAACCACAAAGGCGGAACCCCCTACAAAATACAGCTCAGTGAAGTTGCTGGAGCTCTGCACAGGGGTGAGATTGCAGAAGAAAACTGTGTGTCTTTGAATTAATTAAAGGCTGTTCTGCACAACCTTCTTAGTATTTTTGAAAGGATTTGGGTTGTCAAAGTAAAACATTGGAAGTGCATTATGTTTCCAGCTTTATTTTACTAAAACTTCTATCTTAGTATGTTCAGAAATTTATTAGAGTGTGGGATGGTACTTACTTGAGTTAAAGACACTGCTACGTGCCAAAGCTAACTGATTTTTTGGGTACATAACATAATGGTTTTTTTTTCATAGTGGTAGAAATGCAGTTCTTTATGCTATTCATTCTGCTAAACACCATATTTTATTTATAAAATAATATTTTTTTTGTGAAAATAAACAATCATCACAGATGATAAAGCATTTATTATTAATACTAGGGCAGATTAGACTTTGTGGCTTGCTATTATATCTGGCAGTCTTAAGACAGTTTGACTGTTTTAAGATGCTAACTGTAACAATACAGTCATTTTGCATGAGTAAAAACCACTGCAAGTGTTTGCTCACAATATCAGCTCTAGACAAATCATGCAACGATCAAAGAACTAGTTCATCTCTGCAGCTCTGAATGCTAGACAGTTCCTGCTGTCTTCTCTTTTATCCAGTACACACAGATAAGTATAACCCTGACTGACAGAATGCTGCTGAGAACAAAAATTGCAAAAAACACAATGAAAATAACAGTTTATGCTGTGAAATTACTGTGAAAGTTGCCCATCTGCAATGCTCATATGCTTCATTTTACACTTGCAGGTGCAGCAGCTTCCTGAAACTTCTCTGGTTTTTTTCCATGTATTTCTTTGAAGGATGTTTGTGAGTGATATAGAGAAATTACTTATTTTTAGGTGAAGAAAGAATATGAAGGAATTAATACTTTCAGGAACAGGACCCTCAAGCCTGAAAGCAATGTGAAGTTATTTTGCCTTTTTTATTTTTCACAAAAACAACAGCAGCAGCAACAAAATCACAAGATAATGTTCAAGCAAGACCAGAATATCAATAATGATAATGTTTTCTCATCTACAAACATGCCATCTATAAACATGCCATACACACTCTGTGTAGAACACAGCCACCATCTAAATCCCAGCACAGCAATGGCGTGTTATTGTTACAAGGTGCAAATTTTATGACTGCAACTTTAAATATGTTTTTTTATCAGACCATTTATTCAACTGTTTCCATGTACCTTTGGGAAAAGTGCCTGCTTTGGAATTAAATTTATCAAAAACCAAAGAAAGAAAAAAGGGAAGAAAAAGAGTCAGAACACTGGCCACTAGGGAAAAGTGTGGCCAGCAGATTGAGGAAGGTGATCTTCCCCTTCTTCTCAGCCTTAGTGAGGCCACATCTAGATTACTGTGTTCAGTTCTGGTCTCCAAGACAAGGAGGTACTGGAGTGGGTCCTGTGGAGGCCACAAAGATGATGAGGGGTCTGGAACATCTCTCTTAAGGGGAGAGACTGTGGGAGCTGGGCCTGTTTAGCCAAGACAAGACTAAGAGGATATCTCATTAATATGTATACCTCAAATGCGGGTGTCAAGAGGATGGTGACAGACTCTTTTCAGTGGTTCCCAGCAATGGAACAAGGAGCAGTGGTCATAAACTAAAACACAAGAAGTTCCACCTCAACATGGGAAGAAACATAGCATTGAGCAGAACACTGGAACAGCTGCCCAGGGAGGTTGTGGAGTCTCCCTCCCTGAAGACATTCAAAAGGCACCTGGAGGAGTTCCTGTGTCATCTGCTCTAAGTGACACTGCCCTGGCGGGGGCTTGGACTAGATGATCTCCAGAGGTTCCTTCCAACCCTAAGGATCCTGTGATTCTGTGATTCTGTGAGTATCACTGAGTTTCTCTGCTATAAGTGCTAGTCCACCTTTTTGAGGTGCCTTGTTTTCATCTACTGATGTTGTCCCATGCACTGAAAGGGTTTGAAAAGTCAGGCACTTCCATCTGAACACCTCTGGCTTTCCAATTCAATGGTCACAAAGACTATCATAGTTGGAATCTTGTTACCTTCACAGCTGTGTCAATACTGCTGCTGGAGTTGGTGTAAACTGAAGTGACATGATACACACATACACAAAAAATCTTTTTCTTTTCATATTGTTTTTAACCTACTTCATTTTACTGACCTTAAGTATATTACATGATCCTAGATCAGGTGAGACGGCATAACATAATTAGTGGTGAGTGAGCATGAGAGAAGAAAAAGGCAGAAATGATTGGCTGGAGCAGATAATCTTTAAACCAGGTATATATGGGGAAGGAGGTAGAGGGAAGTATGTGGGAGACCACCTTTAGATGGGTACATTAATATCATTAAAGCAAACTTGAAAATCTTCTTTGTAAGGTGGAATAATGTTGTTCTATAATATAACAATGCACACAAATACGTGGAATATTGATAAGACAAAGTCAATGCTAGGAACATTTTTCAGTACAATTTTGCTTCCTGCCTCCTCCTCTCTCTCACAAGGCTTTTGCCACCTGGTGAAAGACTGGACACAACAGCAAAAATGATACATTTCTCCATTGATAATCTCTATACATACTTGTATTGAAAAAGCTACAGAGAACCTGCTTTCATGCTGCTGCTGGGAGTAATATTTTGAGTACATAAACCTTGTCAGAAGGCAAGTCAAAGAGTCTGAAGTCCTGCCTTACAACGCTATGCCACTCCCCAGGGTCAGGAAATCTGGGGAGAAGTACCTCCTCACCATGGCAGTGATCCTTTTACAGCATCACTTTGAAAAGTAACTGATTTTCAGTAAAAACTTGATGTTCCTGAACACTGTCAGGATCTTCTGCCTGCAATTGCTACAGCATGCGATGAGAACCAAAGTTTCTGGCAGTGTCAGGCTGCATTATCTTTGTGTCTGCAGGCAGGCCTAGACTTCCTGAAAAATGTGCTGCGGCATTTCCATTGTATTGTAAAAAAATTGAAGGTAGTTTTAGCACTTCTGACTGAAATTTGATGTGGTCATGTGTGAATTAACTGCATTCCCTTGTGTCTGTCATGCTTATGGGAACAAACGGCCTTTCCAGATGCTGTTGGGGACAACTGACATGCAGGATTCCCTGGCTCCTCAAGTTAATGCTATGGATCTATCAAATAGTTGAAAATCAGTAGAGACTGGGGTAGAGATGAAGGATGGAGGAGCAGGGAAGGGTTACTGGGAGCTGAGCACCAGCAGTTTGTGTGGGGAAAGGATCTCTGGCAGCTGGGGACAGTCCGCCCTTGTGAGGTTGTGGTCCCTCAGCCCCCCTCCCCTGTGCCCCTCAGGAATGGCCATGCCTGTGCCCTGCCTTCCCCCACCATCGGCTCACTGGGCCCTGACTGTGCCCCCTCGCTGAGACTCACCCTGTCGTGGAGGGACCCAGGGCTGGCTGGAGCCCTCGCAAGCCTGAGAGCATGGGTGTGGCTCAGCAGCGCCCTGGCACCAGGGAGAGGAGAAGAGAGAGAGTCTAAACTGGGGGAAGGAGATATTAGGCAGCAAGAGTGGAAGGAAACTTTCTCAAGGAAGTTGCTTCAGTTTCCTCCCCATATACCCTCATGTAAGTGGTTGGGCAGGGGATTATCTGCTGGTTCCCCCTCGGCATCCCCCCCCAGCTGCTGATATCAGGAGGAAGAGGAAGTGCAAAAGCAAGAGGAACAGACATGTTTAGAGTATTGGACCTTTTGACCAGTCACAGAACTGGCCAAACCTCAGAATTTCTCTCATGTAGACAATCTCACATTCTCTATTGTTGATTTTCTTGTATAAGCAACACATTTTCAAGGATTGTCAGACATAGAGTTAGGTGTCTAGAAAAACATTCAATCTAGAATGTTAAAGTTTAATTAAAAATAAATGCAGCCCTTTATAAGATTTCTCAGTTTTGTATAATTCCAGACACCAGTAATAAAGACAGTGATGTGGCCTAAATAACAACAAAGAGGATGCTCCCCCAGCATAAGCATTTCAAAACATAAAGTAACTTCAGCAGCAGTTTTAATCAAAGACAATAAAGTTTAAAAATGAAAACACAGTTTAATCCAAACAGCTTTAAGAAGAATGGTTCAAAAAAAAAAAAAAATTTCCTAAGGCTTTCTGCCTGGTATTTGCATAATGCCTGACATCCTTTTCTACGTCCCTACCCTTTAGCCTTTTAAAAAACTTTATTTTGACTATCAGTGAATTCTGATCCCTGATCCTTAGCAGGTGGTAGCAAGTTGGTAATAAAAACCTTCTTTAAAGTGACTGATTAGCCTGTGATATAAACCCATAAACAAAAGAAAGTGCAAGTCAGGTTAAATAAGAATGCATTCATCTGTGCCTCTGTCAATCACAGCAGAGACCCATGATCAGTTTTCCATCTGCTGGAAGTCATTTCGGTAAAGCCAGCTTAGGCAGAGAGTGTACACAAAGTCTTACTAGTATACAGAGTTTCTTTCAAAAAGAACATTTCTTTCTTCCTACCCTACTCTCATGTCTTTTTCCAAGGCTCTCTGCTAACCTCACCTTTCCTCTTTTTATCCAGCATTTGGAATGTCATGGCTGGGCTTCGCGAACGAAGATTTGGGAAGGCTCTATCCACATTTGTTACAGGCACGTTGGTGACTTATGAGGCCAATACGAGACAGACATATCCGATTGCAAAAGGCACAGCAGAAAGACTCTTTGGATGGTATATTCTGCAAGACACGGTTCTTTCTGTGTTGCCTTTTCTCCTCGAGGGTGATCCTGCGTGTGTTCTCAAAGGAGACAGCTGCGTTATAGATGGTGTGTCTCCAGGCCTCCCGATTGGAGGCCAGAGTAGACCAGTTATAGTGATCAATATGGCCAAGGCTGAGATGTTGTTTCAGGGAGTCCTTGTATCTTTTCTTCGGGGCTCCTCTCATGCGGCAGCCAGTGGCAAGTTCACCATAGAGCAGGATCTTAGGGAGGCGGTGGTCCTTCATCCTGGAGAGACGTGCCCTGCCCATCACAGCTGTGTTCTCAGCAACATGGCCTCAATACTTGTGACTGCTGCTTGCTCTAGAACAGATGTGTTGGTCACATAATCTGACCAGTGGATGTTTAGGACTGTACAGAGGCAGCGTTGATGGAAGCGCTCTAGGAGACGCAGGTGGTGGCGGTAGATGACCCATGATTCGGAACCATATAAGAGAGTAGACAACACTATGGCTTTGTAAACACTGATCTTGGTGTTTTTCTTCAAGTGTTTATTACGCCATACTCTTTTGTGGAGTTTTCCAAAAGCACTATATGCCTTTGCTAACCTGTTGTCAATCTCCCCATCAATCTTACCATCCGAGGAGATGAGGCTGCCTAGGTAATTAAACTGTTGGACTGATTTGAGCTCCGATTGGCCAATGGTGATGTGGGGATGATGGGGGACTTCCTGAGGTGCAGGTTGATGGAGAACCTCTGTCTTCTTTAAGCTGACTTCCAGCCCAAAGAGCTCAGCAGCATCTGCAAAGCAGGATGTTAAACGCTGCAGAGCTGCTTCTGTGTGGGCGACAAGGGCGGTGTCATCAGCATAAAGCAGCTCCCGGACAAGATGGTTTAAGGTCTTAGTGTGGGCCTTCAGTCGCCTTAGGTTGAATAGGCTTCCATCAGTACGATATCGAATGTAGATACCATCCTGATCATCGAGGTCTGCAGTGGCCTTTTGGAGCATCATGCTAAAAAAGACTGTGAAAAGGGTAGGAGCGAGAACGTAGCCTTGTTTCACACCATTCTTAATTAAAAAGGGCTCAGAAAGTGTGTTACCATATCTGACTTGGCCATGTTGATCCTCATGGAGTGAGATGATCATTTTAAGGAACTTGGGGGGACAGCCTAAATGTTCCAAAATCTGCCACAGACCTTTTCTGCTCACAGTGTCAAAAGCCTTGGTGAGGTCGACAAAGGTTACATAGAGACCTTTGTTCTGTTCCCTACACTTCTCTTGCAGTTGTCTGAGAACAAATACCATGTCTGTGGTGCTTCTATTGGCTCTGAAAGCACACTGACTTTCAGGTAGGATCCCTTCTGCTATAGTGGGTATTAGTCAGTTCAAGAGTATTCTTGCCAGGATTTTGCCAGCAATGGAGAGTAGAGTAATACCACGGTACTTTGAGCAATCAGATTTAATTCCTTTCTTCTTATATAAAGTGATGATGACTGCATCACGAAGGTCAGATGGTAGTTCGCCGAGTTCCCAACAGTGCACTGTGAACTTGTGAAATTTGGAATGGAGTGCAAGGCCCCCATGTTTCCAGACTTCGGGTGGAATTCCATCAATCTCAGCTGCCTTGCCGATTTTCACCTGCTATATGGCCTTGAGGGTTTCCCCTAAAGTGGGAGCAGTATCCAATTCATACTTTACTGGTTGTTGTGTGATGGACTGAATTGCTGAGTCTTGGACTACACGGTTGGTACTGAAAAGAGTCTGAAAATGTTCAGACCATCGATTCAGAATGGAGGTTTAGAAGCATTTGACCATCAGCGCTGAGTAGAGGGCTTTGGACCTGGTATGTAGGCCCGTATGCTGTTTTCAAGGCCTCATAGAAACCTTTGTGATCACCTGTATCTGCGCATTATTGAGTTTTTTCAGCTAGATCGATCCACCACTTGTTCTGGATGTCACGGAGTTCCTGTTGGAGCTTGCTGCATGCGAGACAGAAGGCTGTTTTTCTTGTGTGACAGGATGGCAGTGCAAGGTGTGCTTGGTGGGCGGTTCTCTTCTTCCTCAACAAGTCCTGGATTTCTTGATTGTTTTCGTCAAACCAGTCCTTGTTCTTCTTGAGGGAGAACCCTAAGGATTCTTCGGAGGATTGCAGGATGCTGTTTTTAATATGGCGCCAAATTGTTTCAGGAGAGGAACCTGCAGAATCTGTGGAATGGTTTTCAAGCCTAGTTTGAAGGTTTGCCTGGAATCTGTCTCTTACTGTGGCTGATTGGAGATTGTTAACTTGGAGTCTTCTCCTTGGGATATTGCCTCACCTTTCCTCTTTTTATCCAGTATTTGGAATGTGCTACCTGGGAAATGAGAGATAAGTGGGCTGTGTGTCCCCCATTCCGTCACACACTGTGAGATGAATCACACCTGCAGTTTGGTGGATCTCACCTTGTGGGAGCCCAAACCCAGCTTTCAGCAAAGGAAAACAAGGGCTGACAAAAACCTCGTGATCTGAAGGAGCTGGACCCTTCTTACAACACCTGTTAAAGTTCTACCTCATGGATCAAGCCTGGCTCCAGCAGAAATCAGAAAGGACTTTTGAGATGATTGTATCAAACCATGTCTAAACCCCTGAAATCCCTCTATCCCCCATGTAATCCTACTAGAAGAAAAATTAACTATTTGGAAATTGCAGTAAAAATTTGTGTAACTCCCCAATTAACATAGGTTGTCCCCTTCATTAACATACAGCCCCAGATGCCTTTAAAGTAGTGTTCTCGTGTTCAATAAACTATTCCAGTTTCCCCATACTGGGATCGTGTCTAGCTTTTATTTTTCAGACCGCCACTTCACCTCGTAACTATGAGGGAAGCGAACCTCTCCACGCAGTTCTGGGTAGAAACAGCATGTGTGTTTTTCCTGTGGTGCCCTTCCCGGTTTTCTGCACAACAGGGACCTCCAGTGGAGAAGTCACTGCCGACACAAATCACAGCCTTCCAACATAATTTAGGCAAGCAGAGACTTCTGGAAGAAATTTTGTCCAACTAATCAAAATCAAATAAAAATAGTGGGACTGTAAATTGTTGTTTATTTTCAAGCTGCATTTGGCAACAGCAAAAGTTCTGTGTTCAACATATTTACATGTTTAGAGCACTGGCTCTAAACAAACCTTTTGTGAAAGTAGCAAGACACCTGAATCATACCAGGAGGGTGTGCTTGCTGTACAAATTCTAAAGTAGGGTTTTACAAACCAAAGGTTCCACCTATGTTTGGGCTCCTTAAATACAAGTTAAAAAATATTACCTCCAAATGTAGCTAAACGCACCACAGTCCTCCTTGAACTATACTGACGATTCAGACAGACAAAAATCCCTTTATCTTTTTAGTGACAAAGTCCTGCTGAATCAAAATAAACCAACACAACTGCTTTCTGAAAAGTCTAATTAGAAGGTGCTGCCCATTCCCGTTTCTTGCTCAATGTCACATTAATACTTGACTGCTATAGTGATTTAGCTATAGTGCTAAATCTTATGCATCCATGTAATAAAAAGAAAATGAATGGAGCTCTGTACTTACCATAGTCATGATATTTCTGTCTCCACAAGTCTGCTGAAGAGGATGTCCTGGACTGAAGTCAAAGATGTTCTTTGCCCTTCGATGTTAATGTCCCTTTTTGCAAAAGTCTATGCAATCTAACCAGATTTTATAGGAAAACTTATCAGCAAATTCTTGTTTTGCAGGACCACCGCAGAAGAATACAACTGGTCTAAACAAGTATGCTTACCTCAAGGTTATGAGACCTAAGTGACCTTCAAATGGCTTTTTTTGAAGTTACACTGCACTCCTTTGAAGCACAGATGATAACGAGTGCATTTATTTATTCCTTTTATGACTTCAAAGATTGTTATGAAAATCAGGTCTGTGCTGCTGACAAAATTATATAGTTATGTTTTCAGTAATCTTCAACTCAACTAAAAAGGTAAATATATGTTTGTTTTGTCTTTCCTACTCAGGGTTCCTGAATTTTCATGTATTTAGACTCCCTTATCAACGTCGTGCATGTCTCCTTCTGGCTCAAACTTTCATAGATGTTTAAAATCTGAAGTAATTTTATACCTCTAATAAACTGAACTATATTTCTATTAATTATTTTTTAATTATTCATGTCTCCATAACTGACACTACCAGAAACATAGAGTTGTCCTGGTCTGCCAGGATATTGAAATTCTGCAGTGCTGCAGACTTCCTATGCACAAAAATTGAAGGAATAAAGGGCATATGGCCATAACTACATTGAGCTGGATCTAGAAAAAACCCCAAAACTAAACCAGAGGGCTTAAGAAAAGAGGTAAAGGAAGGAAGAAGAGGAGTGAAATTTAGCTGACATTTTAGACAAAAGTAATACAACTAACTTGATCCATCTAGACTTAAACAGAATATTTCGTACAATGTCCTTTGTTGAAATTTAAGTGATGGGAACAGGGAGAGGATGTGACCTGTCAGAAGGACTGCAAGGTAAATAAGGAGATCGCTAAAGAAACATCATTTTAGCACTGAGAAGGGAATTACTGAGTTTTACTGGGATTACTTGCAGTGTTCTGCAAGTAGATAGGCATTGGTCATGGGCCTAATCCTGTCTGATCCATTACCCTGGATCATGAGTGTGGTTCAAGAGCTGGGCCTATAGCAATGTTATCTGAATGGTTCTACTCCTCCTGGGGACAATCAAGTCATTATACAGGAAGGATAAGAAGAGTTTTTGTATAGAAGTGATAGAAGTCAACCAAAGTTTAATAATAAAGTCATATACTTAGGGCTAAAAAAAAGATTTTTTGCTTTGTGCCAGGGAGATAATGAGTCACTAACAGGACATGCCCATGTGAAAAGAGTGTATAATTTGAGTGCACATTAGGCCAATGATGTTTGAGAGATGCAGGGAAAGAATTTGTGCAGAGCACTGATGAGAGCTCAGTTAGAGTCTCATGTGCTGTTCTGGTCAACTATGTTGAGTGATCATGAATTTAAACTGACACAAGTAAAAGTGAAGTCTTCTATTATGACTAGAAGGAGTTCCTGGCTTCTGAAAGGACATTGAAAGAGCTTACCTTGGGTACCTTAAGAAAGTGGAGATGAATGGTTGTGAAAAGGTTTGCAAGTATCAGAGAAAAATGATTATTTATACAAAAAATATAGGATTGAAATCAAATGGGTATAAATAGGTTAGGATTAAATTTAAAGCTGAATTTATATTCAGTTTTAGTCATTTGTATTCAGGAATGATCTTTCAAAAAGAGTAGAGGAGGAAGTAGATCAGTAAGGCTTCCACATGCTACATGAGCAATTTATGAAAGAGACTTAATCACAGTAGAGGGAGAATTCTGCTATTAGAAAAAAAATCTGTTTATCAGATAGAGAACAGTAACTGTGCTAATTGTGTGGAAAGATGCTTGGTGCCATGTCTATTCACACTGAGTGTTAAATCTTAGACTGTGGTGGGTTTCCCTACACCTATCCTCTGCATCTTTTTAAGCAGGAATGTTTTTGTGTCCGGCTCCTTAGGAATCACTCTATCTGGTAGGAATTTCCTCATACCTGATAGCTCTGCTCTTGATGAAGATTTCTGCTATTCTCACTGTGAGATATTAACATTGGATCTTCCACCAAAAGCAGCTTTATTGCAGGTTCACAATGTCTTAAAGAACCCAAGTACTAGGTCTGAGGCTTTCTGAAATGTCCCAGGAGGACTGAAGGGTTGCTAGGTGCATGTATGCTGCATCCATTGAAAAAATCCTGTGTTTGCACTTGGGAACATGAACCACTGGAAGCCTATTAGTTAGGTGGAAAAGTGTTGCCACTCCCATGGTCTGAAAGGAACTGTTAATGGTGGTGGGGAGGCCTTTTCTGTTCTGCCTTTCTAGCATAGCGTGTCAGCACAGTTTGACTTTTTGAATTTTCTCCTACCATAGGAACCTGGGAAACAGTTCTCTTTCCTTCGTTCTTTCATAATGTTTGATCTTGGTACTCAGAGTCTTTAGAGCCACTTGTGGTGGGTGGGAGGCAGATAAACAAAGTTCTACTGGATTTTTCTAGGCCTGGACTGACAAAATGGAGGGGATCAATCTCACTGATCTGATGGCTTTTACTATTGCTGTATTTCCAAACCACTCAGCCCTCATATACCTTTGTTATTGACTGTTTCCTTAAACCTTGCTTCCATGTAGCTTTTCTGAGGTCTAGTAGTATAGCTAAGTTAATGTGTATATCTTTTGCTCAACAGGGACATTAATTTCCTTTTTTTCCTCAACTTAGCTGCCTTTTCAAATGAAACCTGTTTGAGAACTATCCTTCCTCCCCACCTCAAACAAATTTTCCAGTAATTGTCTGCTAGGTTCAAAAATAATTGAGGGAGTTTCACAGGTAGGTGCAATGGCAATCCAATTGGATCAGCCTTGTTTCCTTTGGAAGTTCTGCTAAAAATATAGGTGGTAGTAGAACAGTTCCTCTATCTCTTTGTAATGTGCCTCTGATTTCATATAATAATCTTTAACTCATTGACATAGTCAAGATAAAAGTTGGACTATTCAGCAAATGTTGGGAGAAGCAAGAGTAATAACTCTAGCAAAACTGCGTGTCTTCATAAACAGGCTGGTGATTCATGGTGTGAATTAGATGTAAAATGTAAAATCCACAAGGGCATTTTGCTGAAGATAAAAACTCTCCCAGATTCTTCGCTAATATACCATCCATCAGTGGATGTCATATACATTTTTCTGATACTCATGCTGGATTTGAATTCTTGAAAATAAGTTTGAAAACATACCACAAAGAATTATGAAAAAACATTGATAAAGGGACACCATTATGCCAGCGATGGAGGACAGATGTTCTAATGAGACCCACAGGCAAATAAAAGGTTGACCACAGCCAGTGTATCAGCTTATGACTGTTAATACATTTATTGGTGTATTACTTTGTTTTGATTACCAATCATTGAAGCTGCAGGTACTTTTGTCATGCCATTCCACTGCTCTTGGGTATCTAGCTGGACAGCAGAAACTGTGGTTGGTGGAATTTGTTTGAAATCCATTATTTTTTTCTAAAAAAGAAGAAAGAATAGTGAAGCAGTGATAGAAGGTAGTAGCCACAACATATATACTTGTTAAAATTTAAGAGAAATTGCAGTCTTATGGCTCACCAAGAGCATGACTTCACTGTGTTTCAAATATGACTGTAATCTGAAATGGTTCTAATGAAGAACCATCTGGACAATCCTGTGCCATGTGCTCTGGGATGGACGTGCTTGAGCAGTGAGGTTGGACCAGAAGACCCACTGTGATCCCTTCCAACCTGACCCACTCTGTGGTTCTGTAATTCTGTGAAGCATGATTAGTGATTGTGTGATTTTCAGAAAACTGAACTATCAGACTTCTGCTTGAAGAGTGAGTGCTCCACATGGCTGAAGCCATGTAAATATCAGAAGCCAAAGTTAGGTTATTGCTTTTTCAGAGTTTTTACTATGCCATACCACAGGAAACATATGTGAATATGCATGTGTCATGAATAATTATCATGGTGTTTGCTCTCATGGCTGAACAGGAATATGTTAGTGATACAGTACAGGAATAAAATTAAGCTGTTTATGAGATTTTTTTTTTAATTATTATTTTTAATTTTTTTTAATAACTGGATCAAGCGAAGACTGACTTCATACCCTATCTTTAAGAAAATAGCACTGAGCTTAGGAAGGTCCAGAAGTAGGGAAACACAGAGAAATATGATATTTTCCAGAATACTTTCCGATCCTGCAAAAATTGATGCCTCAGAGACTTCCTAAGTGAGCATGATTGCCTACGTGTTGAAGAACCTTCCATTATTTTCTCTTGAAGTTTTAAAATGCATATTTACTTTTGGTATGCCCATTGTGCGAAGGAGTAGTCTTCTTTGCCACTTGCTATTTTATTTAATTTACTCCACTTTTTATACCTGTCTTCATTATATTGCTCTTGATTTTCCAGCTCTTTTCTCAGTCTTCTCTTTTCCACTTTATGGAATAAGTAGCTCTGATAGCCTGGAAATGTGATTAATTCCTTTTTTTTTAATTCCCTTATGTATGGCTAGATGGCCCATGAGTGCTGTTAAGCCTTGCTGGCCATGCTTCAGGCTGCAGTAAAATATTAGATGTAGCTGAACTGTACTGAAGCTGAGAAAGGGGAGGCATACAAGAAATCTTCTGTTATATATTTTTTATGCAAGTAGAGGTCATATGGCAAGAATTCTCATCAAGGACTTTCGGCGGGAAAACATTCAACATCTTTTCCCTATCTTGCCATCTGTTTTCTTCTTGTGACTTCGGTAACACGTTAAGCAGAAAACCCAAACACTTTCTCCCAGGCATGTCACATCCAACAGCACACAAGCTTCTTGTTTTCAGCAGGTGAAGAAATTTATCTAAGCTAAAAGTTCTGAAACTGCTAGAACACTAGCTTTGTTAGATTTAAGTATTCTATTTATCAAGGAAGAGAATTCAGTTTCCCAAACTGTCTTAATATTTTTTTTCTGTAAAATACATCTTTTCCCCTCTCTCCGAAATATAAACTTTTTGACGGGAAGTCTGATTGGACATGAAATCTCTTTTTTTAGGAATTGCATTTTTAGTCTGTTCTTATCCAGAAATCCATTCTAATCTTGAGTTCTATAGTATAAAATTACTTATCAAGACATTTAAATACAAATCTAACTGTTCTTGAATTTGATACAAGGTGGCTGATCAGCTGTATCAAAGAACAGATTTAAATGAAAGATGTAAGTGGACTTACCCAGCACTTCATCAACTGTCTCTGAAATGCTCCAAGTACTTTCTGATCATTTACTATAAACTTCAATAACACATTTAAAGAAGCTGCTTACCTGTTTTTGAGGAGCATAGCTATTTTTTTCCTTCACAGGGCCGTTTTTCAATGCTTTCTCCCTGGCATGGTCTGCCACCAGGTCCTGGTGCAGGATTATTACACTGGCGAGTTCGAGTGCTTTCTCCATTGATGCAGGTGGACCAGGCACTCCAACAGCTCCAGCCTCCATCAATGACAACTGGTACTAAGACACCGTAATACTAAGATCAGTCCACCTACCTCTCTCAAGGAGACCGTGATTCAACTCTTACATTCTGAGTTATGGTGACTCTGCAGACCATTGCAGCCTCCAGCACACAACCCAAAGCACAGATTTAGCTTTTGAGAATGTTCTTGTCAGTGGCACTGTTTAAGAGCCCCAGGCTTTCAACAATTTTTCATCCTAGGAATCAAGTTCTAAGGCCCATTTTGGGCACCTGTGCTTTAAAAACCTGGCCACAGAGAATTAATTTACTGCACAATCAATTTTTTATATTGTCAGTTGTGGAACTGCATTCTTCTCCCTCTTCCATTTTGTAGATCAACCTAATATTAAGCTAGCACAGTAATTGTGAAATGTGATCATGTGTTTGCAAACACAGCACTTTTGCAGAAGGCTGAAGACAAAATAATTTAAGACATGGTGAGATTGCTTTTTCCTGAAATCAGTTTACCACTACTGCACCATGCTTCACAAATGCTCCTGCGTACTCAAATGAACTTCATGTCATTCCAGACACAATAATGTATGTGGGACAATGAACTCTAAATTAGAGTACCCTCTTTATGGAAAGAACACAGTAACTTACACTTATTTCCACACCATTATACCCATGAGATTCGACAGCAGTAGGTATAATGGAGTGCTATGAAATTCTTCTGTCCTTATGAAAGCTCATTTTGTCAGGATATTGTCAAGAACAAATATACTCATTTTAGTTTATTTAGAATTCTTACTAACCTTCAATTAATGTTGATTTGGGAATCTGACAAGCAATTCCCTTAAAATAGCTTAAGCACAGGCATGTACAGGCTCCATCTACCAGCACAAGAGTGCCTCCATTTTTGCAGGGTTCACATTTGCACACACTGTATTCAGTAATGTAGTCTTCAATTGCTCTTTCCAAATTTTGTTTCTTTAAATGTGCATCTCTCATCTTAACTGGAACAAGTGTATGTATTGGGGAAGGCTGTAGAAAAAAAAAAAAGGCCAGGCAAAACATACTTTTCCACAATTCCGAACCCTTTTTATATGGCCATCACTAGCGTAAGCATCTGAAGAAACTCTCAAGATGAAGAAACTACCTGAAAGTTCATGATAAACTTGGCGTCTTACCTCCATCTTAGAACAAAACTTTCAAACTGTAAAAGCCACAGCTTTGAAGAAGCTGTACTTACCCGTTGCTGTATCACTACTGGAGCATCAACCAAAGACTTTGCCCACTGTATGTAATCCTCCACATCAACCATTTTAGATCCTCGTAGTAACATTTCTTTTATTTTAACTGAAAAGTCAATCTTTCCCCCCTCAACTAAGGAGAGGACATCATCAATGACAGCATCATCATTTAATTGTGCTACAGAAAGAAAAAAAAGAGAGGATGAAGAAGAAGAGTGTTTAATGCCCATGCATCTGGAAGCATAGTTGTCCTTCTAGTTCAGCCAGTTCCTCTTTTTAAAATGATTATAGAGAGACCCCTTCACTCACTGTTGTAATACAATTCAATCTTTCTTTGCTCCTACCTTTTATGTGGGAGGAAATCTATTTTGCAATTTAAGTAGAAAACCCTATATCTAAAATGAAAAGAAGGGATAGGACAAATTGAAAGGTATTACGGAGATCATAGTCATTTGATAACAAGCCAAAGATAATATGAGTAATGCTACTGTATCAACTGAGCAGAACCAGTAAAGGGCAGGGACTAGACGAGTAGCATCTTTTACTTCGTAACTCAAACACAGCAGAGGACGGAAATTAATTGCCTCTTCTGCACCCAGTAGTAAATCTCCTTCCCTTCTGCAACTTTTATGTCATGTGAAACAAAGCCCATCTCCAGACACACAAGGGAGCAGAGATGAACAGTGACAGGCAAGGGAACACAACTAGGCTAATCAGGGAAAGGAAGGCCCTGCCTTGAGTCCTCTCAGGCCTTGTCCCAGCAGAGCCATTAGCCCTTCAGGATGAGGCTGAGGATGAGTCAAGACAAAGATGAGTCAATGGAAGGGTTCTCTGGATGCAAAGAATGGCATTTTGGGATTGTACAAATTTAAATAATTGGCATATATTTAGAGAAGTGCCAATGAAGAGGTAAGGGGTGATCATGGTGGCTTTGGGAGGAATAAACAAAGGGAGACAGAGGGACAAAAGCAAAAAAAGGGGGCTGATTGCATATAGAAAGGTGACTGATCAGTGAGCTTGTCTACCATGTACTGTCTTTCATCTCTGCAGTCTGTCCTGGCTTACCATTAAAGTCCATTTCTGACTATTTTCTAGGGCAAGGAGACCTTATTCTGTGTACTCACATGTGTATGGAGATCTGTATGCCAGCATCTAGAATTGGACAATGATTGATGGGGACCTGGTGTTTGTGGTGCCAGTAAGTGGAGCAAGTTAGGATATATACACCAGGTGTGATCACTAACGGGTATTAAGCAAGTAAGTAGCTTGGGAGCCAGGTATCAAAGCAGATGTTACTCTGGCCTAGATCTGGTGGCTTTCTGTGGTGATGTGACTGCAATGGAAACAAGGGAAGACCAATCGATGTCATCCACCTAGACTTCTGTAAAGACTTAGATACAGTCACACGCAACATCCTTATCTCCTAATTGGAGAGACATGGATTTGGAGGATGGACCATTTGGTGGATAAGGAATTGGCTGGATGGACACAGCCAGAAGGTTGTGGTCAATGGCTATATGTAAAAGTGGAGGCCAGTGATGGGTGGTGTCCCTCAGGGTTGTCTTGGGACCAGTGGTCTATGAGATTTTATCAGTCTCATAGACAGTGGGATTAAGTGCACCCTCAGTAAATTTGCAAATGATACAAAGCTGAGTGCAGTTGACACAACAGAAGGATGGGATTTCATCCTGAGGGACCCAGACAAACTTGAGAAGTGGGCCCACCAAACCCTCATGAAATTCAACAAGCCCAAATGCAAGGTGCTGCACCTGGGTTGAGAAATGCTAGACATGAGTACAGACCACAAGAAAAAATCACTGAGAGCAGCCTGGTGAGAAGGACTTGGGGGTGCTGCTGGATGAGAGGTTGGACATGACCCAGCCAAGTGCACTCACAGCCCAGAAAGCCAAGCGTGTCCTGGGCTGCATCAAGAGCAGTAAGAAGAACAGGTTGCAGAAGGGGATTCTGCCCCTCTACTCTGCTTACATGAGACATCACCTGTGTTTGGCTCAGGAGTCCTCAGCACAAGGAAGATATGGACCTGTTGGAGCAAGCCCAGAGCAGGGCCACAAAAATGGACAGAGTGCTGCAGCACCTCTCCTCTGAGGACAAGCTGAGAGAGTTAGGGTTGTTCAGCCTGGAGAAGACAAGGCTCTGGGGAGACCTCATTGCCATCTTCCAGTACTTAAAAGGGGCTTATAAAAAGAGAAGAGAGTGATTTTTTTACATGTTTAGATAGTACTAGAACAAGGGGAATGGTTTTAAACTAAAAGAGGAGAGATTTAGATTAGTTCTGCGGTAGTTTGGTCTAGGCCTTCCTTGATGACCAGTTTGTAACCAAGGAAGTGCCCAGATTTACTCAGTATTTCCTACGATTTTTACGTAAGTCAGACTATAAGAAGAAAGGAGGAGAGGCCTTCGCTCTCTTTCCTTCTGGCGGCTTGGAGGTGCAGGTTCCCTGCTGTTGAGTCTCTCGTGTTGGGGAGCGAGGCCTGGTAAGGCCTTGTCGACCTTGGGAGACTGAGGTTGCCAGCGATCGTTCCAGAGCGACTCTCGGCTGTCCCAAGGAGAGCAGTAAGATAGTTTTTTGCCTATTCTTTTAGTTGCTAGATATTGGGCTACTAATCAGGATATATATATATATTTTATTTTGGTTTTGTTCTTTTTCCCCCTTCCCTTTCCCTTGTGAAATTATATATACATTTCAATTGTATATAACTGTAACGTGTAAATATATTTATATATATTGCTTTAACTGTCTCTCATTTTGGTTTTCTTGGTTGTTTTTTCTCCCTCTTCTCCCTGAGGTTTTGGGGGGGACGGGACTTCTTGTGGTAAGGTTGGATACTTGGCAGGGAGCCAGCTTCAAACCATATCAAGTTCTTTACTCAAAGAGCAGTGAGGCACTGGAAAAGGTTGCCCAGAGAAACTGTGGATGCCTCATCTGTCGAAGTGTTCAAGGCCAGGTTGGATGGGACCCTGAGCAATATGATCTTGTGTGTGGAATCCCTTCCAATAGTGGGGCGTTAGAACTAGATGATCTCATTCAAAAATCATTCTGTTATTCTATGATTCTATATCTCCAGAGTGAGATAAGTGGAGGAGATGGCTGCTGGAGTGACCAGGGTTTCTAGGCCAAATACTGGAGAGATGTCAAGGTCCCTGGTTTGACTGAGGCCTGTTGGCATGTGAGGGTATATCTGCCTAAGGCAAATGGAGGTAAGAGGATTCAAGGGCCAATTGCTGGGTAGACTGGGCACCTAAGGCCACTTACTGAAGGCATCCACAGTGCGTGCGTGTGTGTGTGTTGGGTTGCATCATGTGGTCTGTACCAGCAGTGAGAGTAGAGCTGTGAGCCTGGTGTTGTATATCTAAGAGTCACTAACAGGAGACTATAACAATCCAGTTGCTCATTCAATTGAATGTCTAACATCAGCTGCTAGAGGGATCTGTCTTGGTTATGCATGTATGTTGTGGAGGGCCTGAAGTATCCTGAGGCCTGTGCTAACTGGGAAGAACATCTGCTCTGGTTGAACCTGTGTGAGCTGGAGAGTTGGATGGCCTCCAAAGGACCCTTCCAACCTCCACCATCCTGTGTTTCTGTGATATTACCCACGAAAAGACTTTCACCCTGGTCAGATGGAGGGGAGAACAGGATGAAACCATTGGTGCCTGAGTGCTGTGCTTTTGTCTGTATTTATTTGTGTGGCCAGTGATGTGTGCATATATGTATGTATCATGTAAGTGTGTTTGTGTGTGTGTGTGTGCTGGAAACACATTCTCAGGCTGTCTTGAGAGCATGGAATTATGTCAGCCTCACCTGTATTGGTCTACTAAAAGCAATAACTATATTGATTATATTGATTATAAAAGGTGGAGCAACTGTTATCATCTTTTCTTAAGCAAAAGACATAATGTAAATGAAGGACATACTTACATTTGTCCTTCACATGAATCTTTTTACATTTGCCACTATCAATATTAAAATCGGCGTGCAAGTTTCTAAATGCAATACCGGCATCTAAGTGATAACCAAGGCATTTTTGCACGTCTTCTACAGTGATACCTGGGAGTAGAAAAAAGTGATTAGAGAAGTTGCATGACCATAAATAATGTGATATTATTCATAGAGAATAAATTTTTTGAGGCTACTGAAAATGCTTGTGGCTTTCTTCCTCCCATTTATCTTCTGCTTTGTCCTCTTCTATGAAATGAATGTGAGGATGGTTGTAATTGAAGTGCCTGCACAGATGCAGGTAAGATCTATAGTGATTAGGAAAATATTAAAAATGGATTTCTCTTTTCTTTGATCTAGTTGAAAGCAAATGGCCCTCTAGAAACCATTCTTTCCAATTATTATATTGAGATTTTTTTCTTTCACATCTGCTTAACATTTACACTTTCTATGGGCCAAATTATTCAATTCTCCCAGTCTCTCTCTCTCTCTCCTAACCTCAAACAAGTTTCTCCACTCCTTTTCCCCATAAAGTTAATCAAGGCTACTAATCTCTTACAAGTACACTACTCTCACTAATTCTAATCCTCATCTATCCACTACTGCCTCCAACACCTCCTTTCTGTTTATTAAACTCAAACATATCATCTGCAACTTCACTTTTGTATTCAGAAAGAATTGTGCTTAAAATTTGTACTTTAAAAAAAATCTAGCACCACAGTCTCCAGGTTCTGAACAGACTAACAGTAGGATATGTGACATCTTTCTCCTATGCCCCTTTGCATAGCCTGAATATCTGACAGTAATATTGTTGCTGACACTGCATGCAGTAGGTAATTATTTTCTGATTTCCAAAATCAGCATGAGAATTGCCTTTTTTAAATTTTTTCCAGAGTGATCACTTTAATCCAGCACAAACCCACATATTTCTGAACTGCACATGAGGGAGGATTAAATTTCTGCTTTGCTATCTTAACTAGGACATGGAAAATTCCAGTGTGAATGCTAAAGGCTATGAAATCAGTTTCAACACACTCAAGTGCATGTGATTTCTAGGAAGTACTTCAATTTTATCCTTGTTTTTTTGTCACCACTGTACTCTTAGAGTGATTGCAACACAAAAAGTACCAACTAGCAAATTGGATTTAAGGTTTAGGCAGATTTTCTAGGCTTTGGGGATCTCTTGTAAATCATGTCCCAGCAATTACAATTCCTAATATTTTCAAGAGATCTTTTTAATTTTTTTAAATCCCTCTCAGTTATAGACTTAAAATAAAGACTTCGAATATTTCTGTCAGTTAGAAAGGCTGACTCTAATATCTGTTGAATTCATGTAATTCTGCAATGCCACTGGTGTACCACAAGCAGCACACACTGAACTGTGCTGTTCTCAGTTTGCTCCACATATCATATAGACAGATCGATCATCATACATCTCTTTGAATGTCTGGAGACTTGGCTAGAACATTTTTACCACAGGAAGACCAAGAAAGTGCATACCTATTCGAGACATAGCATAATCATCCAGCACGTACACAAGTTCATATTTTCCTCCTACAGTTCCAGAGACTGCATAGTGAGTTCCATAATCTTCTAGGAATTTGAAATACTCCCCCTTATCATATTCAGCAGGCAAAACGTTTAAATCATCTAGGAAACTATCTGTGAGACGGACATCACGACTCCGAATTTGGAATCTTCCCAGCTGAATCTTTCCTTTTACATGCAGAAAGGTTTGGTTCTGAATGCAGGAAGAAGAAAAGAGGTGAGAGTGCCATTCTGGTACACAGCACAGCAGGAAAATCTGTTCTACGTTATTTGTAAAGAAGCTGCAGCACTTTTAAACATGGCATTCAGTCTAGTGTTTTGGAAGAGGGTCAAACTTGTTTGATCAAAATTAAACGTTCTCTGATTTAAACTGAGACTGATGTAATTTCAGTTCTTCCAGTTTTGCAGAGCTCTTCCCTTACTAATTTCAGCAAGCCCTTTGTGATCTATTTGACAACAGGGTCTTCTCTGTAAGTACGATGTCTACTGAAAGTGGATTTCTGACTTTCATAACATTGAAAAGTAATTCTATATAGACAACAGAAGCTGTCCACTGTCGGTAAGGTGGAGTTATGTCTTCGCTTATAGTCAGAGCAGAACTAAGTTCTCTCTTTTTTTGGATCACTTCCTTGTTATTCTCAGACCATCAGAAGGAAGGGCACAGCTCCAATTAAGAACAAAAGCCCTCCAAATAATATCATAAAATGAGAATTAATGACAGAAAAAAATCCATGAGTCATTTGACCCATACATACATTGTAAGTCTAGCTACAGAGACTGATATGTCTGTAAATTACACTCCAGGTGGTTTTGTATCATATTCTAAACTAGGACCTAGCTACTGCCCTTAACTTGTGAAATAAAATTTTGTGAAAGAGTTACTTAAGAATCTAAGCAAACGCATGCCTTCCAAACCCCATTATTATCTGCAGTACTTATATGACTCCCTCAACAGTAGTGCCCAGTAGGAGGTTTGTAAAAGGGATCTAGCACCTGACCATCATACTAGCTGGCACCATTTAAAGGATCTTAAACTGGTGACTCAGATGCTGCTTGAGACCAGCAGAAGTCTGCAGGCATCTAAATGACTGTGAGGAAATTTTTGCAGGTGCAATATTCCTGCAAACCAGGATGTACAAAATCCTTAGATCTCCAGGTGCCTCCAGGCTCCTCCTGGCTTTAATTTTCAGGTGAGCCCTGGAGGGTTCCCAGCCAGAGGCTACCACTCCACTACCCTTCAGCCACATGAGTTTACAGTGATAGAACTCAGCTGGTGACAGATTGTGACTCATTCTCTGAATTGATCTCTGAGAAAGAATTTGAGGCCAAAATTCCTATCACAGGTCACTTGACTGTAAGCAGTCCATAAAACACCTTAAGCTACAGAACTTGATCTTTTGCATCTATGGAGATTTATGGTTTGAGTTCTTTTCCATCCCAAGAAAACCCATACCAACACAAAGTCAGTGCTGTGTGTCAAATTATCTATATCGTACAGACCTTTCTCTTCAGCATTATTTTAATTAACAGGTTGTGGAAGTTGTATTAGTTTTCCCTTATATCCACTTGACCTCCAGAGCTCTGAACAGGTAACGAGGCTGATAAACTTGAGAATTTGAATTAGTTGAGGCAGATCTATTCTTGCTTTCATGTGGTGCACTTCAGCGCTATGGAATTGATGTGCCTTGTACATGATGGCATGTCGTGATCACAGACCTTAGCATACAGGGTGAGGAATGGTATATGACCCAGCACATAGCTGCTGGAATAGGCCATAATGCCACGTTGTGCTGCTTTTTGGCAGGGATAGAGTTATTTTTCTTCACAGTGGCTAGTGTGGAACTGTGTTTTGGATTTGTGCTGAACACAGCGTTGACAATATAGAGATGTTTTTGCTGTTGCTGAGCACTGTTTATACAGAGCCAAGGCCTTTTCTGCTTTTTTGTACTGCCACACTGGGGAGGGTGCTTGGGCTGCATGGGAGGCTGGGAGGAGATACAGCCAGGACAGATGATCCAAACTGATCAAAGCAATTTTCCATATTACATGACATTATATTCAGTCTGTAAAGCAGGAAGCAAGAAGTAGGAAGCAGTAGATGTTTGATATGATGGTGTTTGTCTTCCCAAGTAAGCATTACATGTGATGGGGTCATGCTCTCCTGGAGATGGCTGAACACCTGCCTGCACACTGGAAGCAGGGAATTAATTCCTTGTTTTGCTTTGCCTGTGCGCGCAGCTTTTGCTTTCCCTATTAAACTGTATTTATCTCAACCCATGAGATTTTTAGCTTTTACCCTTCTGATTCTCCCCCTGATCCTGATGGGGGGAGAATGAGTGAGTGGCTGCATGGGCTTGGTTTCTGACTGAGGTTAAACCACAACACATCTAGTGTCACTTTTTATGGTCTTTCTCATTTGGGCTTCACTAAATGCTAAGGCTAATTCTTTACTGGTAAATAAAATGGGTCTTTCCCCTGTCTCAAAGTGATGGTAGTGATATGGCTTTTGTGCAACCCCAAAATAGGCTTGCTTTCTCCAGACTGCCTATGAGAACATCCGCTTCAAACATGCTGTAGGGAACTGCAGGATGGGCATTGTTTATGAGACCATGAGAGCTAGCACTGCCAAAACCATGCTAGTAAAAACAATGGACTGCCGTGTACCAGTGTTAATGCCCATGCCTCTTAACCCTGGCCAGTTCTTTAGTACAGAAGTACCCAAATGACTGGGATCTGGCCTTTCAGTCATTATTCTACGTGTTTATTTTGTTTACATAGTGTAGGTCTGTTCAGTGGCAGGTTTTTGTCACAAAACTTGACCTAATTTGCCCACATTGCACTAGATCAGAGCTGCTCTTTAATCAAGATGAGACCAAAGGTCTTGACCCTTTCTAACTTCAACCCCTGAGGGAGATGAGGGTGTTTGCTAGCCAAGGGGAAACAGTGGGAAAAAGAAGCTACATTTGGTTACCATTTGTCCACATCTGAAATCTTAACCCTATTATTACCATCGTTTTTTTAAATGACAGAAAAGCAGCAGCTGATTAGAATAAATAGAAAGAATATTATTTTGTTATTCCAACACTGTACAAATTGTGCTATTTGTAGAATATTTTCATTAAAACCTTTAGTTGAATTAAACTCACCCTTTCAGTGGAACTTTGCAGAATGGAATTTAAGGTTGCAGCCTTTCTATAATTATACGTGAAATTTCCTTCTACATCAATATTGCTTCCAACAGTAGGTGTATATTTCAGAGACAGTCCAGCACTAAAGTGTTTCTGGTTTTCCATGTAGACCTCTCGTAACATTTTTGAACGATCATGGTAGAATACTGATGTGAAGGTTTTGTCTGCTTTTGTCTGAGAAAAGATAATGAAAAGGTTGTGTAAGAAAAAACCCAAGGTTTTGTCTGCCTTTGTCTGAGAAAAGATAATGAAAGATTGTATGAGAAAACAAAACAGGCAGTAATATAAAAATCTATGTAGCACTTTAAAGCTATATAATTTACATCACTTAGCAATACATTTTCTTACACCTCTTTTTTTCTTTTAAAACAAATCAAATGGAAACAGAAATACCATTCCCTCCACAAACCACCTTATCTCAATCAGCTCAGTGGTTCAATGGTGAAGAGAAAGCTGTAATGACAATATTTCAGTGAGTATTAAATCTCAGCATGTAACACTGTCCAAGTACCTTATGTGAATTAAGAGTTCCTTTACATGGTTTACAGCTTCCTCATAGGGGAAGCAGAAGGGCAGGCACTGATCTTTTCTCTCTGGTGACCAGTGACAAGACCTGAGGGAATGGCCTGAAGTTTTGTCAGGGCAAGTTTAGGTCAGATAGTAGGAACAGGTGCTTCGCCCAGCATCTTGGGTGGTTGGGTACTGGAATAGGCTCCCCAGGGAAGTGGGCAGAGCACCAAGCCTGACAGAGTTCAAGAAATGTTTGGACAATGCTCTCAGGTGCATGGTGTGACTCTTGGGGATGGTCCTCTGCAGGGCCATGAGTTGACTTTGCTGATCCTTGTGGGTCCCTTCCAAACTCAGGAGATTCTGTGATTCTGTGTAAGGAATAATAGTCTCCATCTCTTTCCTAGAATGGAGATAAGGTTTGCTAACAACTGAAATGAGTCAGAATTATGATTTTGTCTTCTTTTCTTACGGCAGACAATAGCTAATTCAGAAATACCTATTTCAGTGTTGTTTAGTGTCGCTGGGTATCTGTCGAAAGGCCTTGGTCCTGTGGGGGAAGAAAGACGCGACACACACACTAGGATGAAGAGACACACTAGGATGAAGAGCCAGAGAGATGTCTGCCTGCTCAGCGCAGCAGGCAGCTTTTTTTATTCAGTTCTCTCACTTCTATTTTCCCACACATGCAACACAAACATATTTCTACAAAAACACTGAGGAATGTGCACCTGCACTTCAGCCACACAGCTCAAGGCTGTGTCCATGGGAACTATCTAGTTAGCTTCACTGCTCCCATGGAAAATGGCCCAACACTTTGTAACAATCCAAACCCCTCAGACTTCAGTTGTGGGGCTGTGACTTCACCCCACAGTTTAGTATACTTTACCAGAACATAGAATTTTAATAACTGAAAATGGTTTTACCTCAAAATCAAATCATCTTGGGTCAGATTTACATTTTGGGCAGGAGATGGTTTAAGTTGTATTTGTTTTATGAAGTTCCTTCTTGAAGAAATAGGCAAAATCTTTGGTAAGCAAAATACTGCTTTGATTTCTGAAATGCATCTGATGCTTATGTTTCAACAATCATCAACATTGTTGGTTTTCAAGCCTCACTGGAAGTCATAGTCTGAAACTCAAAAGCCTATTAGATTTTTTTTTTCGGCGGGACAGAGGGAAACCAAGTAGGACCAGAGTATCCTAATACCATTCCTACCTTTTTTTTTTCAGTGTCTTTGAAAAAGTAGCTTAATTGCTTCTCTACTGAGTAAAAGTTAGATATCATAATCCTTTCTGTACAACTTCTGCTCATCTCATCCACTCATACTGTAACCATTCCAGACAGTTTCATTTGTTGTGCAAAGGTGCAGCAATGAACCTGTGGGAGTTTATCTGGCACAACTGAGCTTAACTCCCAAAGTAAATGATAACAAAATTTGTTTTTCTCTAGACTTCAGCGCAAACTTGATGCTAAAAAGCTTCAGCTGCCTGACTCGAGAGATATGCTGAGTCTTCCAAGAGGATGTCAGGATTCAGCATTCGGTTAAACACATCCTAGTTTGCACAGGACTTAAACTTACATCGTAAATGAGAACAGCCACGTTCCATGGCTTGCGGTAGTATATCCGTGTGTTTCCATCACGCACCCTTTCACAAAGACCATTGAAAAATTCATTGTCAAATGGACTGGCCATTGGCTGCATCCCTAAAATATTGATTCTATAAGAAAAATACAAGACAGGAGGTGTCAGCACCTGCGGACAATGGTATTAAGGCTGGAAATGTCATTTTCTGCAGGAGACGGGGACTGTAGCTGTGAAACTGAATCTTGCTTCATCTAGGCAGCTTGACTCATCTCTTGTGGTCTTCTCATCTGTGTAATGGAGATTAGGTAACATCCTTTGTAAAGTTCTTTACATGTGTGAGAAATAAACAAATAAAAGATATTAAACATCAAACACAGTGAGAACCTTAGGAATAAAAGGAGGTTAAAATAAGTTCTGCTTGACCAATATGTTTGTGAGAAAGCACTCCTTATAGATTTAAAAGTACATCTCAACACCTATATTTAACCTGGATTTGGTTTGGGTTTTTTCATAACTTATGTTAGCTTGTTTGCTGGTAGGAGCTCCATTATCAAGCGTGTACAACACCCATCAAATCTGTAGAAGGAATATATAGCTACTCCTAGTATTGTCTCTTCTTTCAGGGTGTGACCTGGTGAAATAGCAGTATTTCCTGCAGCATAAGAGAGGAAATCTGAATCATTACAAAACAAGGGAGGCAAGAACATAGGCTGTAAAGCTCTACGCATCTATATACCGATGCACAAGAAATATTTCCAAAAATAATTGCCCCTTGGAGGATTCTGCATGACTTTTTTGCTCTTCTGTGCCTGGTTCATACATTTGAATATTTTCAGTATTTACAACACATGCATCTGAGAAATGCCTGTACCTATCTGAGTGCAGAAAGTGGTAATTGAATCATCGAAGTCTCCAACATCACTACTGCATCTCTATACAAGGTTTTCTCATGGAAGATTCTAGTAATAGATTGCCGTAGAAATAAGAAAGAAGCTATTTCTAAAATTGCCTAAGTACTTGGTTTACTTCCCCATGCTTAAACAGAAGCATTTTTTCCCTTACACAGTAAGAAATGAAATGAGAAGGATCATCCTTTTCATTAAACACAGGGTGGTGCTGTTGTACACTTTTATTTTCATCTGTTAAGTTTAGATAGCTGTCTTCTAACTGTTTGTAGATAAACAATATGTCATTCTTTTTTTTTGTTTGAAACTAAAGAAATGCAGCAGAGTCTGAGAATAGAAAGATTCATTTATATCTTAGATTAACGATGAAAACTCCTATAAACAACAAAGATCTGGGGAGTGGAGAATTCAATGGTGCAAAAAAGCTGCAGGCAGAGTGTTATTGCAGTAAGGCATCTCATTGTATAAATAATCAAGAGATATTTTCTCCTTTTACACATGCTTTTTAGTAGAGTAATTGGGAATTACTGATTTGTTATGAAATATCACTTGAAACATATCTATATCTCTATAAACTTTACATTTGAATAATATGCATTTTAAGTTAATTCATGTAATATCTATGTATGATTCTGTTTACTAACTTTGTGATTGATTTACACTGTCTGCATAAATATTTTATCCTCCACAGGTATACAAAATAAAATGGTAGTTGAGTGTTCTTCCAAAAGCTACTTAGCATTTCTGAATACAAATGCAAACATGACTGAGATTCCACTTTTGGGAATGTCAGTGTGCCCCAGCTGGCTTGCGAGACAATCCTAAACTCTTCACCAGGCCCAATACTACCTTTTACTTCATACATACCCGTGCCCTGCAGTCCTACCAACTTCAGACACATCAATGTCGTGGTTACGGCATGGTGATCGTGGGTCAGATTTACAGGCATCTTCGTCAGAAAGGTCTCCACAGTCGTTGTCTACATTGCACACAAGTCGTTGCTTTATACACCGACCTAATTAAAGAGCAAAACATTGCATGAATGCATTTTTGTCAAGATGGATTATAAATGACACCCTCAGCTACTCTTTATTGAGATCTCCCTCTACATACATTTCTATTATTGTCAGGAGGGATTAAAATTCTACACTCTGCCTCTTTCAAATGAAACCCCCCCTGCATATTACTGCATTTACATAGGAGTTATTAGGGTGGCTGAGAAAAGTAAGTCACAGGAGAACTGCTGTCATATGAAGAAAGTTGTTACAGCCTGAGATTTTTTCTATATTAAACTTTGATTGTTAGCTTGGTTGTTTTGTTTTGGGTTTGTTTTTTTTTTTTTTTGTATTAAGAGACTACAGGAAAATGCCAATTCAACATCAACAAAGAATTATTTCTAAATTATTTAAACTATGGTAATTTGGACAATATTATTTAAATACTATGGTCACTGTAGTGTCCAAAAGTGTAGTGATTTGTGTTCTAAAGCAACAGTGTAGTAGTAATTTTCCTGAGGCTGCATATCACAAGTTTTACAAAGACTCATTTTTTTTCTGCATAGGATCTAAAGATTTAGATGAATTAGCCCTAGCAAAATAAAACATCACTACTTGATATCATCTGCCTCTCCAGTAAAGACACACAATGCCTGTGAACTAGTAGCCAAAGGCCTACTTTCCAATTTTTAATTTTTCTTTTTGCACTACTCTGATTTTAAAACAATACTAAAAATGTCTCGGTCCTCAAAATTCAGTTACCATCTTTCCATTTCTTTTTTGAGTAGATTTATTACTATTAACTTTTCCTATTTTGTTTTGATTTTTGATGAGTCTTGAGCACTACATTAATTTGTATGCCATGCTTGCATTGCTTTACAAATTTATATCTTACTTTCAATTTAGATGCATTCTGGTCTCCAGCTAGCATCCATCATAACCCTCAGATCATTAAACTTCCATATCCATTCTGTTAAAATTCTTTTAGCCTTAGGTCCCCCCCCCAGTGATTTTTCATAAAACATAGTGATTCATTACCAGGTGGAGCAGTTAAGGTAGAAAGGATACTCACAGCATGGTCAGCCTCTAACCATGAAGAAGAAATTACAGAAGAATTTAAACTACATGCAAATTATAATGGAAGATAAGAGGAATGTACTCTGTCTTAAACATTGTTCATGCTGTGGTTTTGTCACTGTGGTTGTGACAAACACAGCTGCCTACAGACTGTCTTTAAGTGCTGGCATAAGGCCTTTATTCAGGGAATCACCTCCAGCTGGAAAAGCAGTGAAGCATATATCTCTTTTTTGTGTATGTATTTTGTCTTCAATGGAAAATGATTTAACTTACAGCACTAAGTAAAGTGTAGTTTCTGAGTAAAGGCATTATACGGCACAAAAACAAGACCTACCAGAAGTGCACTGAAAGTCAGCACCACAGTCTGCTTCTGGTTTTTCAGGACAGACTTCACTGGTTTCACAGGTCTGTGTGTCTCCCAAGGCCTCCAGGCACGGTTTTCCACCAAATTGTCCAAATCTTTCAATATGTCTAGAGCGAAACTTGAAAGACAAATAACACTATTAACATGGCCCAGAGAGAAAAGAGAACTCTACCAGAACTGAAGGGTTTCTACGTGAACATGAGAACTTTTCAAAATGAAGCATCTTTGGTGAAATATTTGGTTGAAATTCCACAGGCACATTGGTTAAAACAATATTGAATTAATAATTATCAATATTCAGCTAATATGTACAGATGCTATTTTTTCACTAATTACTTTATTTCACTAATTTTTTTTATTGCATTCCATGGAGGCAGTGCATCACTTATATTTTGTATGCTTTCAAGTCTTTTATTTTCTAAAGTCTTGTAAGAACCACTCCCCTAAGGAAATAAAAATCTGCTTTTTAATAGAAACATCCATATGGCCAAAATAGATAATTTCTACGAAGAAAACATCTTGAATGAGAGCACTTGACAGTATTCTACATTATTGTCTTATTCTTATGGCTTCACATCTGAAATGATTGTGGGTGTCATTGAGTCATGAACATACAGTATTAAGAGTTGCAGTCTGATGTTTTCTCATAATCAACAACCAGACAGACAGAATCCCTTCAGTTGTGGCTTTGGAACAAAGACTTCCAACAACAGCTTACCCTTTGATAGGTGCATGGGTCGCAGGGCCCCCACGCGCTCCAGCTGCTCAGTTTACAATCTATTGGAGATGGAGCATTCAGTTCTCTTGTTCCCCTGTGGAAAGCTTTTTCTGAAGAGCTGTCAAACAAAACATTCCAGTACAGTCCTGGGCAGTACACTAAAATCACATGTGAGTTTGTATTTAAAGCATGGGCCAATATTTTGGAAGAATCTTCAAGCTGATTTCTGTTTCACTTTCATAGCAGCACTTATTTGTATAAACAGCTGCCTAATATTAAATTCTTTGGTGGCTTAAAATTACATTAAAAACAGTTTGAAGACTTAATAAACCAGGTCTTTCCCCCTTTTTTAGATCTTCATGCATACAAATGCTCTTCTGATGGGTCATGTTATTGAAGAGAATGAAACAATAATACTCAGAGAACATCTGCAGTCCCCCACTCAGACAGTGGCTGTGCTTCCCAATATGTAAGTCTAAAGACAAAGGCACAGCAGTACATCTTGAATAGATGCAGTACTTCAATACATGTTTTTGTGATTTTTTTTAGCTTATTAACTTTAATGGCATTGTTCTTAAGCCTGGATAAAAGTGCAAATATTTTCCTGAGTTGAAAGAAAACTCATAAATACAGGTATTACTTAGTAACAGACTAACTTACATTGTTGGAAAAAAACCAGACAAGTGTTTATCTTACTGTTGTTCAGCTTGTCAAGTTGAATACTTCTGCAGTGAGGCCTATTTCTTTTAGAGTGACTCTTCATTTTGGTTCTCAGTTTTAAACACCATCAAACTTCCAGTTGTCATTAAGTGAAAGGCCATAATAGAAATAAAGTTTCTTTAAGGTACTCACTGGTAGATATTAAAAACTAATGCACTGTAGAATGACTTTTTAATTTTAAAAACCAAGGCCAGTAGTTTACTGCGGACCTTTTCTTCACAGGTAACAATGTTAGATAGCAGGGGAATGAAGGATCATTAAAGTCTGACTTGCTTGGTTTTCTCTGAGTAATTTATTCCAATTTGGCCTTACATGCTTCCATATTCATTCACCCTCTCTGCATCTCTCCAGGTTAATGTTGCTGCCTCTGCTCTATACTGGGACCTTCTCTGCTGAGCCCAGCAGGTCGCAGTGTGATGTACATATGGGTTTTCATTGCAGGCAGGGCCTTACCCTCTGCTCTTTGAGCCCCTCACATTGTACAAATACATCAGGATTCTAAACAAATATAACCTGATTCCACAAGATTAAGAAATCTGCAGTTTGGACAAGAAAGATATAGCAGTTGTTCTAACTTCCTTGTGCCATTTATTCTATGTTCAGTTTACATAAGTAGTAAGTTGTCATTGAGATGATAAATCAACCTCTTTCTAGCTATTGAATTTTAAATAAGGAATCACAGGGTTGCTGTGCAACCTTTTATATAATCTGCTGACCTGACTGGCTCTGATGCCTCAGACTTTCTGCTGTCACACACACAAGCAGTAAAAATGCAACACAGCTGCTGTTGGAAGTATCTGTATCATAGACTCCCAACTGCCTTGCCTGCTGCTCCTAAACAGCTCCTTCCCAGAAGTCCCCTGACCTCAACCCAGGACCTGCAGTAAATATATCCTTGGCTGAGTATGTTGCTTCTAACAGGTGGGATTATGAAAAAAAAAAAAAAAAAAGGAAGAGCACAAGTATGCCCAATCTCTATACACAGGATAAATGAGATAAAGAATGAAGAATTCTCTCCATACAACAGGGACCTTACAAACTCTTACCTGGTAGGGAAGCATGAAGCTTTGCTTGTCCCTGACACCAGGAATTGGGGCGCTTGATAGAGGATGTAGAAACAACCTTGTGAGAAGTCCATTTTACACAGAACTCCCTTTCACTAATACTCTGGTGGACTCTGTGCACCTAAATCTATAACCCACTATTTGGCAGCTGAAAGTGCTGGGAATGAGGGAGATGGCTTTCAACATCTGTCTTGTTCTTACATTTCTACCTGTGCATCCATTAATGATCACTATCAGGTATGGGGTAATCTGCTGGAAGGCAGGAGAGCTCTTCTGGGGGACCTGGACAGACTGGAGAGTTGGGCTGATTTGAATGGGATGAGGTTCAACAAGGCCAAGTGCTGGGTCCTGCACTTCGGCCACAACAACCCCCTGCAGCGCTACAGGCTGGGCACAGAGTGGCTGGAGAGCAGCCAGGCAGAAAGGGACCTGGGAGTTTGGATTGATAGGAAGCTGAACATGAGCCAGCAGTGTGCCCAGGTGGCCAAGAAGGCCAATGGCATCCTGTCCTGGATCAGGAACAGCGTGGCCCACAGAACCAGGGAAGTGATTCTTCCCCTGCACTCAGCGCTGGTGAGGCCACACCTGGAGTACTGTGTCCTGTTCTGGGCCCCTCAGTTCAGGAAGGATATTGAGGTGCTGGAGCAGGTCCACAGAAGAGCAGTGAGGCTGGTGAAGGGACTCGAGCAAAAGTCCTATGGGGAGAGGCTGAGGGAGCTGGAGTTGTTTAGCCTGGAGAGGAGGAGGTTCAGGGGAGACCTCATCACTCTCTACAACTCCCTGAAAGGAGGTTGTAGCCAGGTGGGGGTTGGTCTCTTCTCCCAGGCAACCAACAGTAGGACAAGAGGGCATGGTCTTAAGCTGTGCCAGGGGAGGTTTAGGTTGGATATTAGAAAGAAATTTTTTACAGAGAGGGTAATCAGGCATTGGAATGGGCTGCCCAGGAGGTGGTAGATTCACCATCCCTGGAGGATTTTAAGATATAACTGAATGTGGCACTTAATGCCATGGTCTAGTAACCACAGTGGTGTTGCTTGGAGGTCTTTTCTAATCCAGTTGATTCCATGATTCTGTGATTCTGTCTCTTTACCCTGACGCAGAAAGACTGTGATTAGATTCAACATGGTACTTTTAACATGAGTCCTTTCTTCTTCCTTCACATGCCCAGTTAGGGGCCAGCTTTTTTTCTCCAGTGCTGTTGAGGTTTACTACAAGGTGTGTGTATGTCAAACATTGACTAAGCATGTGTGCTTGCATAGATCAGAATGATAATTCAGCCTGGGAAAGGATAAAGATTTTTGACATTATAATTCCACTTCAGTCGCACTTACCCTATGTTATATTAAGGTTTATAACTCAAAAGTAATAAAGAAAAAGAGAAGTGTGTACAGCAACTCTTAGAAACTTCTATAGGAAAGGCTAAGTTCTAGAAGATAGTTATATAGAAGATAAAGGTCCCATACAGAATTTGCTTCAGGAGAAATGTCATCTGAATATTAAAATAAACCCAACAGTTATGATTATAACCATTAAACATTGAAATAGGTTACCCAGGGAAATGCAGGGAAACAGGTTACCGTGAAAGTATTCAAGACTGTTTGACAGGACCCCTGGATAACCTAATCTAAAGCCTTGTTTTGAACAGAACATTGTAGAAGACCTCCAGAAGTCCCTTTCAACGTATTTTGCAGCTCTGTGAAATTTTGGAAAGTTGTAGTGTATTCAAAATTTGACATAGCTCTCCAGTGTCTTCAAAAACAACTTTCATCTGTAATTAGTTCATCTTACAGATACTTACTAATAAACAAATAATGCTTGAAAAGATGCTGTGCAGCATTCTACAAAATATTTTCCCCCCACTTAGCAGACAGCAGCATCAACAGTGGGAAGAAACTAAAATCTACTGCTCTAGCAAATGATTGAGAATCAGCCCTTCCTATATCTGCGAGATGCCTTCATATATGACCTTTTCATCTCCTTACTGATGTAGGACTGTAAACCTCTGAGTAACAACATGTATTCCAGCACCTCAGGTTGAAGACTGACAGGTTCCTTAAAGATATGTTGAGATGTCTAAGAAGATTTCTAAAGGTAGATGTACGTCTTGTTCCTAGTGATCGTTCACGTATTCAGGCGCTAGAGAAGTTTATAGTGAAACATATTTCTGAACTTCACTGAAGGTGACAGCTGAAAGCAAGAACTTTGCAGACAAGCAAGGAAATCAAAATACATTCCCTGCAACCCTTTATTGAGAGGTTTGAGGGACAGGAGAGTACTCTTTGGAAAGCAAAAGCCATTTCACAATCAGAACACAGAATTGTTTGCACCTTGTCTTGGATTGCACAATACACTGTACAGCATCAGGCCACAGAGCTCTGGTGATTTATTATTGAGTCATACTTCAAAATAGAGGACTGTTGAGTTCATCAGTGACAAAAGTGAAGACTGAAGAAAAAGCCTTGGTTGCTTAATTATCACTGACCAAGAGAGAAAGCATGGCTTTCTTGAATTTGGAGGCATGATAGCATCACATGAGGGCATAACCTTTGCCAACTGTAGTTGCTAGCACCATCATCAAGCTGCACAGTCTTTGGTACGCTGGGAAGCCAAGCTGCTGGCCAAAGTTGCCTGCTATGGATTCCCTGTAATAATTGCATATTCTGGCAGGACTGTTTCTAAATGAACATGTCTACCCTGTGCTTTAATTGGATCTGAATGCCAAAATAATAATAAACATCAAAACATAAGAAGCAAATGCCTGACCAACCTAGTGGCCTTCTATGATGGGGTGATCACATCAGTGGACAAGGCTACATATATCATATATCTGGATTTCTGTAAAGCCTTTGACACAGTCCCCCACAACTTCCTTCTCTCTAAATTGGGGAGAGATGGTTTCAGTGGGTGGGCTGTTAGATGGGTAAGGAAGTAGTTGGGATGGCTGCATCCAGAGGGATGTGGTCAATGGCTCAGGGTCCCAATGGACATCGGTGACAAGTGGTGTACCTCAGGGGTCCGTACAGTGCTGTTTAACATGGTCATTAGATATATTTATTATATATATTTATATATACTTAATATTTTAATGAATAGACAGTGAAGTAAAGTGCACCCTCAGCAAGTTTGCAGATGACACCAAGTGGAGTGATGCTGTTGACACACCTGAAGGATGGGATGCCATCCAGAGGGACCTGGACAAGCTCGAAAAGTGGCTCCATGGAAATGTCATAAAGTTCAACATGACCAAGTACAAGGTACTGCACCTGGATTAAGGTAATCCCCAGCACCAACACAGGCTGGGGGATGAACAAACTGAGAGCAGCCATGGAGAGCAAGACTTGGGAGTACTGGTGGATGAGAGGTTGGACATGATCTGGCCACATACACTCACAATCCAGAAAGTCAAACATCCTGGGCTGCATCCAAAGCAGTGTGGGCAGCGGGTGAAGGAGGGGATTCTTCCCCTCAGCTCTGCTCTGGTGAGACCCCACCTGGAGCACCAAGATGATTGGAGAGATGGAGCACTTCTCCTATGAGGAAAGGTTGAGAGAATTGGGATAGTTCAGCCTAGAAAGAGACAGCTTAGGGGTGACCTAATTGTGGCCTTCCGGTACCTGAAAGGAGCCTACAAGAAAGATGGAGAGGAACATTTTACCAGAGCATGTAGGGACAGGACAAGGGAAAGCGGATTAAGAGAGTAGGTTCATATTAGATATTCAGAAAAATTCTTACTGTAGGGATGGTGAGACACTGCAACAGGTTGCCCAGGGAGGTTGAGGATGCCCCATCCCTTGAGGTGTTCAAGGCCAGGGTGTATGGAACTCTGAACAACCAGGTCTAGTGGGAAGTGTCTCTGCACATGACAGGGGTGGTTAGGACTAGATGACCTTTAAGGTCCCCAGCCTAAATTTCCCCTCTTTCAGTGTGTACCCGTTACTCCTTGTCTTACCACTACAGTTTCTGCTGAAAAGTCCCTCTCCAGCTTCCCTGCAGGCTCCCTTCAGACACTGGAATGTTGCTATGAGGTCTCTCCACAACCTTCTCTTCTCCAGGCTGACCAACCCCAACTTTCTTAGTCTGTCTTTGTAGGGGAGGTGCTCCAGTCCTCTTATCAACTTTGTGGCCCTCTGGACTTGTTCCAACATAAGACTTACATTTTTTTCATCATTCATATTGGCCATTCTAGTAAATGACATATAGACATTTCTGACAGAGTAGTGCTTTAGTTGTTTCCATGTGATCATTTTGTAGGGACTAAGCCTTCGTTCACTTCCTAGTGATACTTGCAGTGAAAACACAAAGGCTATATTTCCAAAGATTAGAAATAGGCAGACTTTAAATAGTAAGAGAAGTACTGTCAGCGTAAAATTGTGCATCTTCAGAAAGAAATATATTAAGTACTTTAACACTCAGTGTGCAACAGAAAACAAGCGCCTGAGCTTCACCACCCTGGAAGAATACGGCTTCAATTGCTACCAGTTACCTTTATTGTGTCACACACATCCAGAATAAATGGATACAGCATTGCTATTTAACTCCTTGAAATACAGCAAGAAGTAGTTTGCTTTTTCATAGGGTATCTAAGCAAGCTGCCACAAGAAATGTCAGCATTGGATGTTTATACTCTGTGTTAAGAGAAATAAAACAGTAGAGACAGCTGGAGAAGATAAAGAACACTTACCTTCTGCTTTCCCCCAAAAGTGAGACAACCATCTCTAAGTTGCATAGTATGGTTATAAACTGCAGGATAACAAGCATGATTCTCATTTTGTAGCTGAATAGACTAGAATAGCCATGACCGAATTTGTAATTTATTTATCTGTTCCTTTTGTTATTTATTACCAAGAGATCAAACAAAAAGCAGTGTTTACTGAAGAATGCCAGTAATGGGCCAAAACTGCCTTACGGTAAATGCTCTAAAGTCCACTTTTCAGAAAAATCCACTTTTTCCTCTGAATGGGGGACTGGGAAATACTGTGGAGTAGTTTAAAGATTAAAAACAAACAAGTTTTGTTTAATAGTATCTTTCTAATATAGGGAAGACATTATGTATTGAATTAGAGAACCATTAACTGCTTAGTAAAAATGCTGTCATAGCCGTGACTCATGTAAGGAACAAAGAGTTCCTAAAGCAGAGCTGTTTACAAGAGCAAGTTTACTGTCTAACATCTTTGGAATCTTCCTTTGGAATAATGGAGGACTAAAGTCCCAAGATTTTTTTTATTCCTCCTCCAGCCAATATAAAAAAACAACACACCATTTTTTGCGGTTTTGAAGGAGACTAAAACTCTTCTAGCTTTTACTCTGTCACTAACATCCAAACCACAAGCTAGCTCTTTAGAAGGGCACTCCTTTTGAGTACTTTGTTGTAATCCAGATTTAAGGCATCATGTGTTGGACACAGTCACAAGACACAAGGCAGTCATAAATAACCTGCTGTTTAGCTGTTAAGAATTGAGTATCTGGATGCAAGCTTAAAACAATCATCCAGTATAAGGATATTCCAAATTATCATGGGTAATTAAAAAAAAAAAAGTGTACTTTTAATATTTTCTGTTCTCTGCTTTTTGTGGCAGGGAGGAGGGAGTGTGTGAGATAGGGCAGGGCAATTTTTTCCCTATTCAAGCCTTGATTTGGGACAATTTCATTTAAAGGAACTTTAATCTGCTGCAGCTCCAGTCCAGCCTGATGAGTCCAGTTGCACTTAACTCATTTGTTAGGCAAGAATGCAAGACACAGAAACTTGTAATACTGTATTGTTTCATCATACCTGCTATCACAGTTCGTGGTTCTTTAAGACAGAGATTCAGAGTAAAAAGCTATTCAAAGTAAGCTAGCAGACCAGCAAGCATCTTTGGTCAGCTTGTAAGAGGTCCTGCTAACAAGCTCTGAGTGATCATCCTGGCAGCCATTTCAAAATTCCAGCATAGTAGGACTTTAAACTTTTCCTTGACCAGCAAACATTGATTTAGAATTTTAACTCAACTGCTTGTAAACATACTCCTTCACACAGACACTAAGACAGCCAATTGTCTTTTTATTTCTAATAGAACTAAATTACATGTTGTCATGCAGTCAAGGAAAAAAATGCTAATAATTAAAAATCTGATTCTGTGTAAAACCCCTTAAGACCTATATTTCAAGCTAGACACCAACTCCCTCGCAATGAGTTATTTTCAACGCTTAACCATCAAATAGTATTAAAAATAAGAAAGCCAGTCTAAAACAATGGCTTCCTAGTGGATTTATCTTTTTATCACCATATCTATTAAAGGAGTTATACAATCTGAACATAAGTTACATGTTCTAATTAAATTTTCCCAGCATCTGTTTAGATCTTCTGCAAAGTTGGATAACACAGGCTGAATTAATAAAACTTCTGAACGCAATTTAATTACCCAGATTCCATGGTCCTAAGAAAGGAGCAAGAAAGCATCTTTAGTAGCAGGCTGCTCAGGCTGAGCAGCTAATGGGACAAGGTTCTAGTGACAGTTTACTAAATCAGTTGGAGATTTCATTTTTTAATGTGGCATGGCATTTGTTGAACAGGTCCAATGCAGGAAGTTGGAGAAAGACACTGCCATCAGACAGCTATTGAACCTGTGAGGAACAGTTCTTAGCAGGCTCTGAACTCCCAGTGTAAAATACACCACAAGCTATAGAGCTATAGAGGACAGAATAAATAGCTACACGTTCATTTGGTATGAAGAGTTGCTTCTGTTTAATGTCATTAGGTAACATCACTTGCGATACTACAGTTTTATATAATGATGTAATATCCATAAGTCTCTACATCTCCAGTTTGAGACAAACACTTAAATTTGTGCCTTTTTTTTTTTTTTTTTTTTTTTTTTTTTTTTTTTTTTTTCCATTTGCTGAAAGTGCAAGAGAGGTTTATATAAAAGACTAATTGAGTGAATGGCTGAATTGGGTACTAAGGCTGTATTCAAGTTGACTTAGCTCTGCAGTTCAGCAACTGCTTAGGCATTTGATTTAACAATAACATTTCAAGTTTATACTTTGTATTAACAGAAAAACCTCTGACACATCACCACTGGCCAAGAATGTAACTGTTACAGTCAGTTGTAACTAACTGATTTAAAAATCTGTAAGTAAAGAGGTTCTTGAGGAAAGACATGTTTTTCAAGAGTATTACCTCACATTAATGGCAAGAGGTGGTGCACCTTTTCTCAAGGAGTCTAGGCATGGAGTGAAGCCATTATTGTCTTTTTGCTTTCTAACATAATGGAAACATGCTACACTACACCATGCGACAACTCAAACTGAGCAACGTCAACAACATTCACTGAGACATAAGCAAGAAGCCTACCTGCTTGTTCCATTTGTCTGCCAAGCCACCTTAATAGTAAAGTAATCTTAGTAGATTTCCCTCCCTGAAAAATGCCATATTAGCACCAAGACAACTGTTAGTGTCCACAACTACCTCAAAGTTCTGCAAGAAGTTTTTCTGCTTATCTGACTCTACAGTGTAGGCCTCTAGTACTCAGGGCTTCAGCAGTGCTGTCACAGACCCCGCAGTCCCTTTATTAAACATTTATGGCAGAATGATAATTTTACTTTTAGTGAAATAGACTAGTATTAGACTCTTTTCCTCTACATACAGATAAATTTTTGTGGCTCAGAGACCAAGCAATGTGCCCAGTCACCAATTAGAACTGAGTAGCATCCACTCAACTTTACAGCTGGATGCTGCTGTGATAACAGGCAACAGACCTAGCTGTTTAAGGTGTGGAGTTTTAGCTACTAATTCAACTCACTTGGCTGAAGGTAACACCTCTTCCCCAGGTACATTAAGTTCCTATATTTTGGGACAGTAAGTGCTACATAAAAGAAAAATGATGATCATATTTACAAGACACAACTTAGTGCTGTTAAACTCTTCTATAGAAGATTGCAAAGAATTAAAGTAAAGTTAACATCCACCACTATGAATTTGGGTTTCCAGCGTGAGTCAATATCCCCATTTGCTTTGCCCTGAAATATCATCTTCACAGCATGTTCTTTGAGTGTTCATGCTTTAATCCCCCTGGATATGCTTTAGATTGCAGACATCATGGAACAGCAGCAAGAGTGACAGACAGCAAAGTGAAACATGTAGAAAAATCATGCTGAGAAGAGGTCCAGTTATTCCATTTGTCCTTTTCTGGGTACACCTAGCATGATGGAAAGGAATTAGTGTTAGGATGGCTGTAAGCTATAGCCTTATTCTTTAAACTGGCTTAGAGCCACTGAGAACAAAACTAAAGCAATAAATACCAACATTTGTCTTTTGCCAAAAGCTAGACAGTATTTCAGGGGAAGACAGCATATGGAAGAGTAATAGATTTGCTGGATCAACAGTTCATGTTCCCTAGCCAATGGTGTAAAAGCTAGAATTATGTTAGTTTCTAGTAACAAAAGCTCTTCTAACAGCTTTTGAGTAAAATCAGAGTAAGCCTATAACAGCCTTATTCTAATTTTACTCTGATTCACCCAGAGTCCAAACCTGCAATTATTTAGGTGACTGAACTTCAGAAAGATGTATAGGGCAATGCTAACATGTATGCTAACATGCTCCTACAGATATCTGAAAATAGTAAGTCAGCCCCTTTAAGATCTACAGCACATATTTACTCATTAACTTCCTCAAGGAAAGGAAATCTAGATCTACTGTGGCACTGAGATTTAAGTCTGTGGAAGAAAAAAGTCTTTATTTCTAAGAAAGCAAAGCTGTCTAGCCTTAGACAAAACGCAGCTATGTACAAATCTGAGTAGAGGCACTCTAGCAGACTTATTCTTTTAGGGACCGTTTGTCATACTTTGGAGACCATTAGTGTTAAATTACTGTAGTTTTAGCCAGCTCTTTACCAAAAATTTCCTCAATCAATTTCAGAGAATGATGTAAGTTGTTTTATTAGTGGAAGACTTACCTGATCTATGCAAACGGGTTGCCAAAATTATCACCAAAAGGATCAGAATGTAGTTTCTGAGATTCCTTTTAAGGAAAGAGAAATAAGCTGTTAGTGGATTTCCAGGTTTCACCAGATTACTATGCATGGCTTTATCAGGTAGTTCATGTTACAAACACCTGGAAAGAATACCTTAGAGTCTCTGTTAAATGCACATTAACTGTACTGCTTTAACAAGAAAAGAGGGCTCTAAGCTGTCTTAGCAGTTAACCCAGTAAAAGGCAAAATATCTTTCAGAAAAGCCATGTGTGGTTACTGAACAGTCCTTTAGAGCTGAGACAGGGGAGTCACATTGAGATCTCTTTCTAATGCTAGAAGTCTAAAGTCAGTATTCTGGAGTTGGTTCAGAATTTCCACCAGGGGCTTCAAGTGCTGTGTCCCAAATGGAATAATGTGGTGAAGCCACTTCCTCACCCAAGGAGTACTGAACATGGAATCTCCCATACGTTCAGCTAGAGAGTTGCACAATCCACACTGCTCAGTCTACTCTAAAGAGAGGTAAGTACAATTGAAGTGGAATATGTCTGCAGCTACGTTATTTTATATATTTTTGTAGAAGCTCCCAATACTGAAGAACTTTCTGCTAGTGCTTGCAGCTTGGAGAACTGGTTATTGAGCCAAGCCAAATGGAATAATACTTTGTTAGCCTTCTTGCAACAAATGCTTTCTATTAGATTACATATTAGCCTCAAACATGCAAAATGTTTTTGTTGTAAGGCCGCTAAAGCCAGAACTAAGCCAGTGTTCAAATATAGGTACCCCTGTAATTAAGGAGGAAGAAAGGTTCTGGATGAGTTTTTGTGGTGGTGGTGCTGGTTTTTTTTTTACTACTTACAGATGACGGACTGAAAAGATCTCTTTTAGCTTGACTTTCAAACAGACCATCAGCCGGCAGCACACTTCGCCGAGGAACAGGCTTTGGTGGTTCTAAGAAAGAGAGAGATACTCCTAAAATCACTTAACAGCTTTAGCCAGTACTCAGCTCTGTTTGTATAGCAACAACAAAATTCATATAATTAGAAACACAAAAAAACTTATATTGAATTTGCTTTGAGTGACCTCACAGTTTTAACTCCTGCTTGTCACTCACTAAACTTAGGCTAGATGGAAATTCTAACATTGTACACACTTAAGTGCACCTCATTCTAGTCAAGTAGTTTAGGCACTAGGAGACAGTGTTTAGCCAGTACAGTTGATCAATTCTTCAATTTGTTAGTAGAGACAGTCCTTCAACCCTCTGCTTCACTAACCATTAACTCGAATGTTTGGTTCTATGAGTAGCCACCCAATGAGAAAAGAGGAGAAAAGGAAAAAAAAAAGTAAAAATGTTACCAGGCATTTTAGCAGACAACTCACTAGCTTCCATATCATTATGATCTGTACTATCTTGAGGAATACCTACTTTACAACTAAAGTAATTGCTGAAAGCTCCAGAAGCACCTGAAAGGCTTTGCTGCTCTCCTCTCCTTGCTGGTACTGCAGGTGGCTTTGTCAGCTGGAAGTCTTTGAACATTTCCTTGATGTCCTTCATCTCTTTATCTCCAAGTGGATCCAGAGCAATGAAAGCATCACTCTCTTTCTTGGATGGCTCCTTCACTGGTGGAGTTCTGGGTGGTGGCTGAGGTGGGCTGGTTGTTGTTGACAGGGAGGGCAGTACAGATGGTGATGGAGTTGGTAGCGTCGAAGATGCGAACATACCGCTCTGGAAGGGATTTGCAGCACTGGATGGCTGTGACCAAGAACTAGATGGGATTTGTGCTGGCTGTGGCCAGAGACCAGAAGATTGAGTGGCTGCTGGACCAAAAGATGCAGATTGGTTCCAGCCTGAGACTGCTTGAGTACCGAAGGCAAGTGGTTGAGTAAATCCTGTAGACTGAGCACTTATCATAGACCCAGGAAAGACTGATGATGTAGTCTGAGTGAAGGAAGGTGTCTGTGTAGTCCGTGCTGATGAATTTACTGGCAAGCCACCTGGGGGGAGATTGTTGTTACACAAAAATTCAATCATCTGAAGACCAGAAGCAGAGTGTGAATTCCACAGAGGGTACCAGCAAAACATTTTCATGTACTGTTTGCAAAAATCTCTTGGTTTACACTTACAAATCAAACTGTTTGGGGATAAGTAGGGGTGGGAGAAGAGGGTTAATTTTTTACTTTGCTGCATTTCAATGCTGGAAGAACAAAATTGAGGTTGACATAACAGAAGGAGGAACATACTTAGTACTAGCACAGAAGTGACAGGTGCATTTGCTTCTGTGTAAATGATTATTAAGGCTCTACAGCAATATTACCCTGGCCTTACAAGTTTTGCTTGGCTCAGTTGAGCCTTGGGTACCTGAAGCAGCAAATTACTGTCAGAATTAAAGCAAAAACCCCCAATCCAGTTAAGAATTCAGAGTTTAGGCCTCCATTCACAGAATTAAATAGTTTAGGCCAGATTAAAGGATTAGAGGATACAGCTCTATACAAGAAATAAAGTAAAAACTAGAACCCCTCTTTTGATGTTAACAGATAGTTCAGACTGAAGCAAGACCTTCACTTTGTAAACTAACCTAGACAAGCCAATGAATGTGCTGTGAAGAAGTCCAGTGGACTAGTTAGTGCAGGTCCTGTTTGCGGCACTGAGCTCAAGCTAAGCGTCTCTGTAGTTGGCAGAAAGAAGTCTGGGTTGAATAAGTCATTCGGTGCAGTCTAGGAAGAAAAAAAGTTTTTGTGAGATGCCACGGCAGAACATATGTAGCACGATCAAGGCTTCCTAGCCCAGAGCTACAAGCTTTTATTTCATCTAAAGCAGAGCAGGGAGCTTTGATGTATCATTTAGACACCAAGTATAGGAGTTTCAAACATCACTATTTTGTTCATGCCTATGGAGACACATGGCATTAATTAGGTG